ATCTTTAACTGATATCATTGACGCATGAAACTATTGAAATGATTGTACAATCTTGAAAAAGTAATGTTTCTTGTGTGACATTACAAAATCGAGTGTTCGGATAATTTCTTTCGCGGTCACATTATCAATAGAGAAAAATATTTTCTATCCTGTAAACTTTTTTTAGCCCAGAAGTAAGAGAATTATGCTAGATGAACTTGATAATATCTCACACAGATAGTGTTCGTCCGCATTTTAGCTGCAAGGTATATCAGTTTCTGGAGAATATTTCTCCAAGCAAGTGTAATAGAAGAGGTAATTTATTTCAATAGACATCATGATCAGCTTGACTGATGTGACTTAACGTTTTTTATAGGAATATGTAGAGAATAATTTTTACAAGACATTTGTCAAATATTTCAAAACAAAATTTATATAATGTCTTCATAGATATTTTCAAAAGACATAGGTTTTTGTATTGCATACATACATATAAATGATCATTTTGTATATCTATGAGGAATAATTTTTTTTATGAAATAAAACTTCACTGATTATAAAGTGTAACTATAAAATTTCAATTGAACTTTTTGAACATTTTGTATATGTTAGTCAAAAAAAAACTTTTCTGAGTTTTTCGAAGTCGGATTCCGAAAGTTTGACTGCGCAGAACTCCAGACTAAAGTATTGATTGACTTCAATGAGTTTGGTCCTAAATTAATAAAATAACATAAGAGAGTTACTACTTAAAATGTTTGGTTATACATTGAGAGTCTAAAGTTAAAATGAAGATGAAATATTGTTTCAACTCAACGTAAAAATAAGTGAACCCGTTAAAATAGTTTTACTAATCTAATTTCAGTTTTCTTCTTATTTGGATTTCACTTTTCAACATGGATTTTTATGTATCACTGGTATAATATCAATAGACAAAAATTATTATTCATTACTACATAATCTTTTCGATTCAATACATACAAAATCTTTAGCATCAACTTGAAGACCAGCAATTTTCACTCGAATACTATCCTCTGGTTGGATCATAAGGTCCTAGAAAAATTTGAATATATATGTAAAATTAAATGAAAAATAAAAACAATAAAATTTCTTACATCATCTTTCTTTTTATAACATGGTGGGTTTGCACTTGGATCATATTCCATATCACGTGGAATACTCTGAAATAAATATATTATTATTACAAAAAAAAAATAACTTTGACATCAATACAACACTTACATGACGTGAAATAAAACAAGTTAATGGACCAATTTTACAAAAAATGCCCATCTTAAAAAATATTTAGAGAGAAAAACAAAGCATTTTTGCAAGAAATTCTCATAGTAATCATTCAAAGTTTTACTTTTGTCACTTGAGTGATAATAGCTTCGACAACTTCATGTTTAAATGGTCGAAATACAATAGCATGATATTTGACAGGAAATATAACATAACCACGTCCTAATAATGAACTATATTTTTATATTATCAATTAATTGATATATCGTTTTTACCAGGTTGAATTTTACCCACACCAATATTATCTATTGATGTAACTGCAATTACATAACCGTATCTATTAAAAAAAAACAAAGATGTTTTTCAAAAAAAAAATCAACGATTTTAATAAAAGTACCTGCCAATACATTTTCCTTCAACTTCATTGAATAACATACGTCGAACAGTTTTAATAAGTTGTGGACCAAAATAACGTGGATGAAGTAATATTTCATGATCCAAACTAACCTAAATCATACAAAATTTCTTATTATATTTAATTAATATTCGTTTTACTAACATGAAAGAACATTTTAAATACTAGATTTTATAAACTATATCCTTGATGTTACCAAAGAATAATGAAATTCAACAGGAAATATATAGGTTTTTTTAATCTTTTTTGTTGGTTAATTATTTGTTCATTCAATAAGTGGCAAGTAGAGATGACGCTAGTAGACGTGATTATACCTGCAAAACTTTTCTAATGTTATGTTAGTCATAATTATTGAATAATTCTTTTTTTTTTCTTGTGAATCTAATTGATTCATTGTATTATCATTGATGCTTTTGTTTTTCGTATTCAACAGATACTCAATGCTGACTATAATGAATAATTTTAGTTAATCTCAATGATGCTTAGATAGAAATATGAGTCAATAAAAAAAGAATTAATTTCAACTTATATGCAAACTTGGTAAAGACGAAATGAAAAATACTTATTTGTTTTAAATAAATTAACTTGATAAATAATTAATATTATTCAAGGTTCTACTGGAGATCTTTCATTTTGTAAAATGAATTTCGATAAAATAAAAGTAAAACACAAACAGTTGAATTGTTATGGCAACGTTCATTTGGATCGAATTGAATATTTATCAATATTTTTAAAAAGTGTATGAAAAATCTTTAAGTTTTTATCTTAACATAGATCATTTTCTGAATTGATCATCAATGTGATGAGAATATGGTTCTATAAAAATCTTTATCAGATCTCCTTGCCAATAATCACATAAAATGATGCATTTAATGCAATGATGCTATATGAAAGTCTTGAGAAAATTTTTTGAGTTGCATTACATATTCTAATCAATATTGGATACACTATAAGCATCAAAAAAATTGATAATACTCTACACTTTTTTGTATTAGTAATGAATCACGAGTATCGAAAACGAATGATATTTGGAGCTCAACAAATTGTCTAGAGTGAAGCTCTGCTCATTCTGAAAAAAACTTTAGTATTAATATCTTTAAGTTTCTTGATCCGATGAGCAGAGATTTTAAACAGAACATATAAATATTTCTTGCGATTAAACCAATATTTTTAAATCTAAATCGTCTCTACACATACTTTAATTTTTCAATTAAATCATTCTAATGTCAAGTGTATTGCTGAACGCGTAAAAGAGCTGTTTCTAACATGAATTTTAATGAACTATTATTTTCGAATAGTACTTAGCAACACATAATGATGAATTGTTAGATTAATCTTAAAGATGTTTATTGAAAATAAAATAAATGTTTGTATCGACTTGACATAGAATGTTAACAAATATTTTTGTTCCCTTTTTTTTTTTGTTTGATCATGATCGAATGGTTATTTTTTTGTAATGTGAACTGTTGCATAATGTTGATGATATCAACAAAAAAGAATATACTGTAATGTTATGCACTGATACAAAAGATTGTTTTGGGTTTGCTTTTGTATTAATGTTGCTTACCGATATTTTCTAAAATATATTTATTGTATCGAATGAACCAAAGACTCACATAAGTCAAACTTGAAAGCTGAATTCAATTCAACTTTCAAATAAACACAGTCACTATCGGTAGCGGTGCCGCGAAAACATAGACGTTGAAACTTGACACTTAAATGTTAGTTATTCAATTGAATTTAAGTTTGAAGTTTAACACTACTGCAAAAATAGGTGGATTGTCTCTCATTAATGACTTTTTTGTTGATTTTTGAATAATCATCAACTGCTTTTTGAGTTTATCTTAACTATTTAGTTGGCACTGATGGCCTATGAATTCTGTTTTGGATCTGACTCTGCAGACGTTCCCAAGTACAACTATAAGCCCATGGAAATATGAAGCCTATATACCTTGTTTATCTAGCAATGTACGCAGATCAGCTGTATCATCATCAATTTAGTCACCAACTCAAAGCCAAGTATTATAGTTTTAGGACTTTTGTATCTCCAGTTTAAGTTTCAAGAATAGCTTCCTCGCATTTCTTAGCAATTTGTTCAACACAAGCATTTTCACAGGCGTGAAACCTTCAAAAAAACTCGTCGAACAATGTCTCTATCGCATATNTGATTTTCACGCTGATGTGTTACAATATTTTCATCATTACTCATCAACACTTTAACCGTTTGAGCTGAAAATTTTACCAGAGATAGACTCTAGAGTAATTAGTCGAATGACATAATTTTCGGTTCGATATATCTTAAGATAGGAAAATTTACATGGATCACATGTCCATGTATGAATGATCGATTTTTGGTACGAAATATATGCTAGTATTTTCAATAAAAGTCCATCTAGACTCTTCTGAAATAGCTTTATTTTGATACCAAACGATTTCTCGTGAAATTCCCCATCTAGTAAACTATGAATCAACCAAAATTGACGAGGGCCCAAAAATGACCCTTATACGCCCCCGTCCTTTGTATTTTTCTCTGATTAAAATTGTATTTTTCATTGATAGAAATTGAAATTTTGTACTGGTACTTATATCTAATAAGCTGACCATTTCACAATTATTTACTGCTAATTTTAGTACTGATTGTTTAATATTTATACAGATCATTTCGTCTATTATACTGATCACTTAAATGGTAGCTTTTTTTTAATTACTAGAAAGTAATTTTAAGAAAGCTTGAATGAAAGATGTTTAGCCTGTTCAATTGATAGTCTTGATTGAAATATTTCTTACACGTAAAATAATTCTACTAAAAACCATATCAAACAGAATGACTTTTATAATGCGTAGATTTCACGGAGAATTATGGTGGTAAAAGACACGAATCTTACTCAGTAGGAGCTAACATATCTCCAAATTCAAGAACTTCTAATAGAAATTTTTAATGACCTTCCAGCACCAAAAAAAAACTATTTGAACCTCGACGAAGGGTGTGGATGTGGATGTTGCTGTATATCTTCTCTTCATGTTCGCCCACACTGACACTCACATGCTATCCAACGCAATGATACTCATGTCATTGTGACGATTAATCGAAAAGGAAAGTTGGAAAGAATAACAATACAATAAACAACGTTGTAGTATTTTTACCACCTTGTTTGTTGTTCACAGTCATATGTTTACTTTAAATTAATTAGATGGAGTTTATCATAGAATGTCAAAGAATAAAAAACAAATCATATTTCATTCGCAGAAAAAAAAACTGGGAAAACCAGAAAGTATCCACCGTAGAAGCAGAAAAGTTACTTCTGTCTTGACGACCAACAATTATTCATCATTCTAGATTAACGAAAAGGAGAAATTCATATTAGATATGGGTGTGAGAAAATCCAAACAAAAAGTGTCCACGACAACAGTGGATGCCGTTACAAATTTAACAGCATTACCGAGTATCATCGAACCAACAGGAAACATGACGCAAAATTATTTGCTCATCTGGGTCGATAGTAACATTGATCAAGCAAGACAGGATTATCGAAATACACTTGAGGAATTGCGCAATATTGTCAACCAAGTTAATATCTGCACAACGTCGGCACAATGCATTGAAATTCTCAATGATTTGGATGACGCGAAAGCTTTTGTCATTTCCTCGGGAGCGTTAGGACAACAACTTGTGCCAGCTATTCATGGAATGGCACAATTAGATAGCATTTATATCTTTTGTGGCACCAAAGCATGGCATGAAGAATGGGCAAAAAAATGGCCAAAAATTCAAGGTGTCTTCACATCAATAACACCAATATGTGAGTCATTAAAAAAAGTCTCCCGTGAATGCGACCACGCCACAATTTCGGTGAGTTTTCTTCCGAAGAAGATGTTGGTAGCAGCAGCATCGAATGAACAAAATTTTCACAAATTGGATCCATCATTTATGTATTCAAAATTATTCAAAGAAATATTATTGAAAACCCATGAAGACGATGCACAATCCCTGGAAGACTTTGTCGTCTATTGTCGGAACAAAAATATTCCTCAATCTGAACTAAAAAGTTTTCGGTGTCAATACCATAAGAAATCACCAATCTGGTGGTATACTTGTGAAATTTTCCTGTACAGCATGGTTAACTGTGCCCTACGGTCATTCGATATAGAGGCCATAATGAAAATGGGCTTTTTCATTCGCAAACTTCATCAGCAGTTAGAAGAACTATGCAAAGAACAATCGAGTGTGTATAAGAAGCAATTTATCGTTTACCGTGGTCACGGACTTACTCAGCAAAACTTTGAACAACTACTCGACACGAAAGGTGGACTTCTCTCGTTCAACAATTTCTTGTCGACTAGTACAGAAAAACACGTAGCTTTGGAATTTGTTGAAAATGTATTACGCAAATACGAACACAATGTTGGTGTACTTTTTGTTATGAGAATCAACCCAAGTAAAGTTTCAGCGTCGACTAATCCGTTTGCTCTTATCGACGATTACAGTGCTATTCCACGAGAAAAAGAAATTCTTTTTTCAACTCACACCGTATTTCGTGTTGATGATATCGAACAGACAGTCGACAATAGCCGTCTATGGAAAGTCGAATTGACTCTCATAGACGACAATGATTCACAACTGGCTACTTTCACTCAACACATATACGGGAAACTCGATGGATCCACAGAATGGCAGCGATTGGGTTCTCTGATGCTCAAAATTGATCACTTCGATGAAGCTGAAAAATTGTTCAATGAATTACTCAACAACGTATCCAGTGACAGTGATAGAGCAGCTATCTATCATATGGTTGGAAAGATGAAATTTCACCAAGGACAATACAAAGAAGCAGTTTCATTTTGTGAGAAATCACTTGAAGTTAAGCGTAGAACTATCTCGGAAGATCATCCTTTATTGGCTCATACCTACAACAGTATCGCTTTAGAGTATAACAACATGGGTGACTACTCAAAAGCACTTGAATTTTATGAAAAAGCAAACGAAATATACGAAAACATTCTGCCTTCGAACGATCTCAGTTTGGCCTCTTCCTACAACAATATGGGCCTAATGTATAAAAATATGAGTGACTACTTGAAAGCACTTGAATTTTATGAAAAAGCAAAACAAATATACGAAAAAGCTCTGCCTCCGAATGATCTCGATTTGGCCTCATCCTATAGTAGCATTGGTCTAATGTATAACAACATTGGTGATCACTCAGAAGCACTTAAGTTTTATGAACAAGCACTTAAAATAAGAGTAATAGCTCTACCTTCTGATCATCAAGATTTAGCTATTTCCTACAGTAACATTGGCCTAGTGTATTACAACATGCGTAATTACCCAAAAGCACTTGAACTTTACAAAAAAGATCTGGAAATCAAGAAAAAGACTATGCCTTCCAATCATCCCGATTTAGCTGTTTCCTACAACAATATTGGTCTAGTGTATAGCAACATGGGTGACAACTCGACAGCACTTGAATTTTACAAACAAGCACATAAAATAAAAGAAACTACTCTGCCCTCGGATCATCTGTCGTTGGCTATTTCCTACGGCAATATCGGTGGAATGTATTGTACCATGGGTAATTACTCGAAAGCACTTGAGTTTGGAGAAAAGGCGCTCGCTATTCAACAAAAAACACTGCCACCAACGCATCCTGCAATTAAACTAACGATGAATAATATTAATTATGTAAAAAAGAAGATGTAAATTTGTTTTTTTCTCTTGCTTGCCCAATAAACTCTTTCTGATTACTGGTTACTCTTCCAACTTTCTTCTTAGGCAAATTTCATTCTGTTACGAAGCACACAAGTATAAAAAGTCGAACATATTGACAGAGAAATGAAGCTCAGATTACACTCTTCTCACAGTAAAATTTACAAGTAATTCGCTCCTGTATTATGACGGTTCAGAGCCTTGTTCTGAAAAATATGAACAGATACATCTTTTTTCACCATGAAAACATAATCGGCTAAAAGTCGTAGAACGTAATAGAGCAGAAGCTAAGAAGTGTCTGGAAAAAATTTCGCCTTAAAATATTGTATTTTCGCAGAGTTCAGCTATTCAGACAAATGATATGAGAGTTATGAAAAAATGAGTTCATCAGTAATATGATTGGCAATCTCTTAAAACAAAACCAAATCAGTTTATATTTTGTGTGCTTAAAGCCTCAGTGGTTAGCTACAAGTTGATGGGTAACACAGGGTATGGGTGTAGGTGTCGGTGTGAATATTCATTGACTCATACCAACACCCTGATTGACAGAAAGTAATTCTTTTTAGTTATGGTGATATATCTACTCGTTAGCTTCGCGTGATTGCTCGATATGAAGAATTGTTAGGAATAGTTTTAGATTGGTATTCTACGTAAGATGTAAGTCTGCGGATTTAAACACCAGGAAGATGAAGTGTGAGTGTGAGTATAAGTAAATGAAGATTCACATTCATACATCTAGTATTCTTTTCTCTCTGATTTCCTGAATAATTCATCAGAACACTGTCGGCCTATTCTGGACTACACTAGGCCATCACTCTCTCGTTAATATTGCACTACGTGAATATATGATTCTCCAATGGCAGCTACTCAAACTTTTAAACAACTTCGCATTCTAGTGATAGCCTATAGAGTTTCATGTTCGACATTTAAATCAGAAATTTTCTTCGCTACTGTATATGAAATGAAAATGCTTCTGCAAATTTCATTGCTTTATATACAGTCTTAGCTTGACAACATGAAATATTTCCACACTAAGGTAATTGGCTACAAAATTAATTAGGTGAGTCGGCTCCTGCACATAGATATCATCAAACTGGATTATACATCAGATACTCCAGAAGCAGCGAAGCTAAATATCGCAAGAAACCACTACAAGTTGCTTAAAAATCATCGTAAATTTGACAACAAAATTGCCTATAACTGAAACAGAATGCTCCCATTGTCACAGCGCATTCACTTTAAAAACACCGTATCGCAGCGTGATACGACATTCCTTCGAAGCATAAACTTAGAAGTAAGTATCAAACTTATTATTGCACAGCCTATATTTTCTCAGACAAAACAATTTCAAACAAGTATGATAGCACTTAAAACATTCATGTCGTTAATCTGTTATTGCACTGGTTTCGTTTGAGAAATATCTGAGAGCTGTTCTTCTTCATGTGAGCTCAGATGTACTCCGTGAATGTGATGTCCGTCTTGCGGAAACCATGATGAAGATTGAGTTTGTCGGATTGGATTACCGCGGTCTTCAACAAAATTGAATGCTGGTTTTATTTGAGGAATACCTTGGAGTTGTTCTTCTTGATGTAAGGCTGGATGCACTACGTGGATGTGGTGTTCATCTACATTAAACCATGATGCGGGTTTCCTGAGAGAGAAACTTTGCTAGATGTTGCGAGGTATGTCTTCGAGAACAGTGGGTCTACCGAACGTCTGAGCAATTAAAACTAATTACTTAGTAGGAAAACTGTTAATTTCATAGCTCATGTGTATATATTTTTAAATATGAAATGAAAATGCTCTGTATAGGTAAACACGAATGGCTTATATATGTTGATATATGACAATGATTGACATATGACGAATTTATTGTAGAAAGCAATAATTGTTGCATGGATATTACTGAGCAAGGCATTCATGGACTTTGCATTATGAATCTATCTGTCCATTCTCACGCTTTCGAAATAGGGAACGAGTAGTTTGTTGGTGTATCTAGATGTGAATCATTCTGAATCGATGATGTCGGTGTCTCCCGATAACAGTAACATGATGCACTACGAGTTAGATGCATTTCGATTGCAGCCATCATAAGTTACGATGGTTTAAAATCGCACTACAGAATTATTCTAGCGTTTGTGACTAGCCGGTCACGTTTAGTTGTAAGTTTGAGTGGTGTATCTTAGCGTGCGGGTATGGGTATGAGTAAATGATGATCATCACCAACACTCTCAGAATTGTTTATATCATTTCGAGACATCGATGTCTTTGACAAAGTTCGAACGAGTTTCTAGGGATTCACCATTCTCTAGGTTATCGCAATACAAAGTACAGATTATATTACAACGAAAACCACGCAATGTAAGGATGACGAATGCGTAGGCGACCGACTACGTAAAGACTGTACTGCGCACCGTATGTAGTATAAAGTTTCTGGATTTTGTAACGCTTTATAAAATTAGATCAACATTATGATTGTGAAATATCTCATGATATGTAAAAGATTTGCATATTTATGACAATTGTTTTGTCAATAGTATTTTTCAGAAGGCAAAACATGATACAAGTTAATAAATCCAACCGATAGAAATTCTTTGAGTCGACTAGAGTTTTACAATTACCTATCTAATATGTCTTGGAAATTGATCTTTCCACAGATTTTCCTGATAAAAAAATTCTGCTGATTCGAGACTAGCGATTCATATTTTTATCGATGTTCAAGAATAATTGTCGTTAATTGTTATAGGATAAAAGCATCAATTGTGAATGAATTCGAACATAGTATTATTATTGGTTCTCTAATTGTGCCTGAAGTGAATGCGACATCGGTATCGATAAGTAGTGACAACTATATGAAATATAATAAAATTTGGTTAGAGGCATTTACAATCGAAACAATGGATGCGATAAGAATATGTAAATTTATTTATTTATTGCCTCTTGTAAAATGTCAGTTTGTTCATTTGTCTTTTTTTCTGATTTTATCTTTTTTATTTTCTGATAATCTTTATGCACGATAAATCTAAAAAAAACAGTGTATGTGAAAAGGTTTATTTTCATACTCACAACTTGAATTGATGTGCAAAATTAACAAAAAAATAACAATCATACTTCACCGACAGATACTTTTTGTAGATCGAGTCGTTTTGCTTGATTGTACAGAAATTATTCTTTTTTGAATATCTTCTTATTCCTTCATACTTTTTGTCTTAGATTAATTGTGAAAAGAATACTTTTACAGTCATGGATTATTATTTGAGTAAATTGCCAGGTAAATGAGCTTTTGTTTCTTTTTTCAAATTTTGTTGTGTTTATTTTACAGGTATTGGTAGATATACTGGTCCTCGACATTTTCAAATCTTGAAGAATTAGTATGCCATCAAAACTAGCACTACTCTTTTTTTTCACATATATTGTTTTTTGTCTTTAGTGCACCGTCATTAACATTATTCGGTGCATCAGCTCTTATCTATTGTCTTTATATAACCGATTGGAAAGTAACAAATACCAGAATTCCATTGTATGGACGTAAATTTGATGAAATGAAACGAGCAGCAATGATTGATAAACATGGACAAAAGGCTGTCGATGAAGGAACTGCTTCTGAAGATTAAGGTTTGTATAAGAAATAGAAATTTTTAAGCGAATATTTTATTATGCTGTATTTTGATTTTAGTTTTGTCATTTCAATAAAATGCATCCATACGAACGGTCAATCAATCATAGTTGTAGAGTGACATGTTCATTTAATCCCTTGGACCATTTTTGTCTTTTTGAATAGAAAAAGTTTTCTCTTTCTTTCGTCCATCCTCGAAGATGTCTTTTTTTCCTCTTTTTATATTTTTTTTCTGAATTTCAGATGATCTAAAAGCAAATATATATCATGAATCTGTATGATATATTGAAATTTGGTTATGATTATCCGGCTTTGGTTATAGCTGTTATATTGGGTGTTGTACTTTGGTCAATGGTTATTATGGTCGCATTCAATGGTGGTCGCAATGGTGGTAGAAAAACAGAGTAGAAAAAAAACTCATTTTCTTTTTCTTTCTTAAAACATTCTAATTACTAATATGTCATTTTATATTTAACCTTAGTCTGTTTTTTAATGGCAATGTCTTTTTAATCTTATATGCTATACATTGTATTATGTGCTTTTAAAAGGGATTAAAAATTTTATTGAAGAGATCATTGTTTATTTCTTTTATTAATTTTGAGTACATTCATAAGATGAATTTCGAGATTGTCTATTGTGGTCGATAATTAAAAGGTGTCAATTGACCCATTTGATGAATAGATGTTTGTTGTGATGGATAATTATATGGTGTCGGTTGACTCATGTAAGGAATAGGTGTTTGTTGTAATGAAGAATTATAGGATGCTGGTTGGCCCATCTGGTGCATAGATGTTTGTTGTAATAAAGGATTATAGGGTGTTGGTTGGCCCATCTGGTGCATGGATGTTTGTTGTAATAAAGGATTATAGGGTGTTGGTTGGCCCATCTGATGAATGGATGTTTGTTGTAATGAAGGATTATAGGGTGTTGGTTGGCCCATCTGATGAATGGATGTTTGCTGTAAGGAAGGATTATAGGGTGTTGGTTGGCCCATCTGATGAATGGATGTTTGTTGTAATGAAAGATCATAAGGTGTTGGCTGCATCATTGGATCATTGGAAACTTGATGAGCGGGAATTTGAAGAGGATTTTTCGAATTAAACATAACATGTGGTGGAACTGTTGATTCAATGTAACCAACAGTACGCATATTTGGTTGTGGAGGATAAACCAATGTTGTTGATGCTGGTTGTTCAAATGTAGTAGACGGTATTGTTACTGATTGTTCTTGTTCTTGCTGAGAATATTGTTCAAAAGGAGTAAAAGTTTGATGTTGTTGTTGTTGTTGTTGTTGTTCATCTTCTTCTTCTCTCTGACGTCGTTCACGTGATTGTAATCGGACTATTCTGAAAGAGAGGAATTGATTTTAATAGAAAAGTTTTTAATTTTTTTCTTTTTCTTTTTTACTTCGATCGTGTAATTGGTGTTGATTTTCCTAAGTATTTTTCTTTATGTATTATACGAACTTTTTCTGGTGGTATTTCAATAATATTCTCAATAATTTGTGGTGGAGGGCGACGAACAAACACTCGTTCAATTACTTTAGGTTCAGGTGATTTAAGACGATGATAAACTCGTTTAACCTTGGGTGGTGGTGTTGGTAATCGATAGACTATAATAAAGTTTTATTTAAATTTTATTGTAGAATAGATCTCATTTTTTGTTTAATATACTTTCTCGAAAATGTCGATCACTGATTCGTATAACACCTAATGGTTTACTCAAACCATCCGAATCATCATCACTCGATGAAACTCGTACATCGTCGTAAACTTCTCGACAATCAGACGCCATTGTATGATAAAATTTCTGTTTATTTTGAGGAAAAACAAGTTTTTGTTGTATTGACTTCGATTTTCGAAGAATTGGTCGTTCACGTGTTACTAATCGACCAACGTAGTCATAATCCGATAGCACAGGAGATCTCAATAGAAATGTATTTTTTTTCTTTTAGATTTAATTTAATAAAGTAAAAAGAAAGAAAATTTACTTTAATCTGTTCGTACGAGTTCGGTGACTTGAAGTCGCTGATGAAACTGATGGGGATTGATACGAATATTTCAACTTTTCCATAAGAGAAAACGGAATAAACGATGAACAAACAGAATATAACTGGTTTGTTCACGTTTGTCGGTATAAATCATAGTGAAAAAAGACACTGTGACATGAAGGTTATATGTAGACACGGTCGATTGAGCAACATATATGTATCACCAGTATACTTCAATGTTCTTTTCTTTGCAAGCGCGAATTACGTTTGATTTCTTTTTCAGATATAAAATATTGATTTTTATTCAAATACTTATTTATTGTTCAATAGGTCGTGATTAATTATGGTTTGATTAATTGTTGATGCAGTTTCTTGGGTTGGCCGTCGTATTGCAAATGCATTTCGATCTAATCCAAAAATAGCTGGACCATCGACGGCAACACAACAGCAAGGATGACTACTCAAGGGAGGCGGCAATTGTTCGATGAAGACGAATTCTACTCATTATGAACAGAAATCGTCAGCATCACGTTAGTTTTTTTCTTTCGGTATATTCGAAGGTTTTATCAGTCTCTTTTGTTTTTTTTTTCTTTTTAGAAGTGTACGCTCGACCAGGTGTTAGTCAAACTGATGATATTCGTCGTCGTCCGTCCTAATAATGATCAAATGATGATGAACATTGCATGAAAATATACACAATCTATTGCTCTTCGATTATGATTATGCTATTCGAAATCATTGATGAATATCATAGGAATCGAGTAATAAAATGCAATATGATCTATGTGTTCATTTTTACAAAATGTTCTCATCAATTAATTCTTTTTCCTAATTATATTTTTAATTGAGAAATTCTGCTCTTTTTCTTTTTGGATAAATAAAATCAATATATATGAATATCAATGATTGATTTTAAAAAAAAACACCAATTTCTCATTTTCCAGATATCATGTATTCTGCTTGTCTAATGAAAAGAATAAATTCATCTTCCCATAGAAAATATTGGTAAAATGTTGTTTAATCAATGAACGTATATTAATCGATTGTTGTTTAAGGAAATGTTTTTATTCGTCGGTACAGTCTTTTACAGCTGTAGAGCCTCCACCTGATAATTTACCAACATTTCTTACTACTGATGTTTTACGTGATCCAAAAAAAAGGTACTAAACGATATTTATCCTGACACGGCCACCTTTCGGACTATTACTTGTTGTCTACCTGAGATCCATGTGAATCTTCTAATTCATCATCGACTATTGATTGGTGACTCAAAAAGAGATTTGCCTACAAAAAAAATAAAAAATAAAAACAATAAGTTTGAAGCATCTTTACCGTATCTATTTTCGAGATTTTTAAGATCTTGTATGACTATTTAGTATTTGTGTTATCTTTGCACTGCTCTATTTTAACAAAAACAACTGTTCATGATTGAGTAATATTATCAAAGTACTGCACTGAGCGTTCCACAAACATCTTTAAAAGATATGGATTGAATGAATCTCACTGGGGTCAAGACGGATCTCAAATAGCCGACAAGCGTTCACATGTACTTCGGAAGGGTCTATTCACATTAATACAATTGGGCTTAACTGGCTGACGTTATTATCATACTCTACAAGATGAGCAGTTTCACTTATGTTGTGTAATTATAACAGTATGATAGAATTGATTAAGGTCTGCCAAGACTACAGGTGGTCGTGTGAGGATTAAATAACGATATGCACATTATGCTGTCTTATTTGTAGCTATCTTATTTCAGAGCTGTTGAATTGTATATGCCATATCAAAATATTTCCTATGAAGAAGAGTTAAAAGTTTGTTAATGAGTTTATTATTCTTATTCTTATTCTTATTGTTCCATTTTGTGAAAATTCTCTAGCTTAAACAACGTCAACTTGAAAGTCGATTTCAATCAGTTGCTAAGACGCTATTTTATGATCGAGCACTTCATTCATCTATACGTAAATTAATTCGAACAAATGATGCTAATTTATGTCCTATTCGAGATATTGAACGAACCGTAATAATTTTTGTTTTTTGATTAATATTAATTATAATTATTTATGAAATATTGTTTTAGTCAGCAACAAGTGAATATTTAACATCATGTATAGCTGATTTAGGTAAAACACGTTTAGGTGACTTAGCGCTCGGAATTCCTAATCGATCGAGTTCAAGTGATTATTCAAGTAAGAAATTCTTTATCATTGCAATGTAATGAAACGTTTCTTTCAGCATCAAAGGAAGACAATCAGACAATGTTAGTTTTACCTATTGATGATGTAGATATATACAAAAAACGTGATCGATTGATTATTATGGTAAATTATTACTTTCTTTATTAGAATGTGTTTTAAAAAATCGCTTTTGTTTTCTTTACATATAGCATTATTATAATTTTCTTCAAAAAGAAGTAAAAGATATATCGAATACGGAATATGTTTTACATCATTGGCGACCAATACGTATTTATACAAATAAAAAGGATCAAAAAATTGTTGTTATTGGTTATTTTGATCGAAAAGTTAATAATTCAGTAAGATTTATTATTATTATTTTCTTTTTTGTTTATTTTAACTTGATCTTATTCTATAAAAGGAACGTCAAGCAGCTAAAGAACGTTTATTTACATATTTTGAAAATGGTCCAGGACGAGAATGTCAAATTGATCATTTATATTTTGAACGACGGTTTGTAAAACTTTATTATTTTTCTTTTTTCTTTTTTTACTGTCTTCAATTTAGATCTCAACGTTGGCCAATTATTGTTAATGAAACATCCTACGAAAAGATTATCGGTGATAAAAATAAACCATTTCATTATGATTTATTTGATATGAAATTTGAACCAAATTTACAATCCTATGGAATATCAAATCTAACAGCTTATGAATTAATCTATGCTGAAGTATTAAAATTATGTAATCTCGAACCAACATCAACTGTATTTCTTCAATATTTTTCTGATATTGGTTTGTTTTGTTTTTATATTTGATTTTTGAATAATAAATTCAATATTTTAGGTGTTTTACCATTAGTTGCTAGTCAATATGTTGATCAATGTTATGGTCTTGATTCGAGTCGATTTGCAATAAAAACAGCAATGAAAACACAAGAAAAATATCGTAATCATGTTTCTTCTCTATCCGTTAATTCAGTTTCTTTTTTTAACGTTTGATTTTTCCTCTAGCTCATACACAAAATGTTCAATTTAATATTTGTACAACAAAAGATGAATTTAAAACAATATTAACAAAAATAGAACAGAATAAAAAGAAAAATGCTTCATTAACATGTATTTTTGGACCATCTAGAAATGAACTTGATCGACAAGATTTACGACAAAGTATAACAAACAATATATTTTTTTTGCTGTTATATATATTTTTTTTTCGATTAGACAAATCTATTGTTAATGTCCTACGTGAATGTGATTTTATTGATCGATTAATTATTGTTCATCGTGGTATTAATTCTTCTATTTTACATTTACTCTATAGGTAAATAATTATCATCGAGAAATTTATTAGTAGTTTAAAAGTTCGAATTATTTATTTTGTAGTTTGTCCGGTGGTGAAAGTACAACACACAAAATATCTGGCTCGCCATTTAAACCTGTAATTATTATACCATTTGATGCAAATCCTCGATCAGCGCTTTTGCCAGACTTTCTAACACTTTATGAACGTGATTAAACGCTGTTTTTTGTTGATGTTATATGAATAAAATTTGCTTAAGGATAGTAACGTAATCAATACGAGTGGTTCAGGAAAATGAGCCTCTTTCATCGTTGAAATCTTGATTACGCTACTACTTAAGAGTGTTGTTAACATTTTGTGTATTTAATATTGAAATTCAAATTCTAGACTAAAGAAAAACGAAATACGCGTTACATTTAGCAGATTGATATCGTCCGTATGTTTTCATCATGGTAATATATACATTGATTATTAACACTTTGACAAAAGAAACCTAATAAGTAACTATGCTCGTAGAAAAATTGTGCATAGAAAAAAAAACACTTGATTTAGATATTATTACAAATAGGTATACGATGAGTTCTGATAAACATATCTACTGTTGACGAAATATAGGCTACTACGTAATGACAACACTAGTCTACAAGGGTACAGTTTGCACAATAAATCATCATCATGTAAATGAATATGAATATGAACTTGATGACATCCAACTCTTTCTTTTATCTTTCTTATGATCGTAAAAAAGTTCGAAAAAAAACTCGAGTATTACATTAATGCTTTTAACATTTATCAGTTGTGTTCTTCATAAATCAATTTCTTCTTAATCGTTTTTTTTTCTACCGATGAGTCATTCTATACCAAGAATAAAGAATATAGGCGTTTCATTTTGCTCCAGATAATGAATAATTGTTTTTTATTATGAAAAGAACAATGTCTTCAATGTGTCATATGTGATGTTACAAAATAAGATTTATGAATCGATCATGTAAAAGAATATCAGGATGTACTAAATGTCAGATTTATTCTATAAATGGGTAAAATCAATAGATTTGAAAATGTCATTCAAAATTATATCGTTTAATTCATTAACAACAAATCATTTATTCTATGACGTCTATTACTTAATATTAAAAATAAATAATCAAAGAAAAAAACTAATTAAGTAGAAATCTTTTTATTTCATCTTCACATTTATCCATTAAACATTAAATTCTTTGTAAACATTTATCTTAACGATTAAAATAACTGTCACTTCGTTTGAAAAAAAAAATCAATATTTTCTCTAATGATACTGTCTATCAATATTTACAACCAAATTTTACACACTTCAAGACGATCTGATAAGATATTTTGGATGGAGTTATTGAGTATATTTTACCATAAATAGTATGGATAAGAGATATTCTGTCATTACTCCATGCGCCACTTTTTATAATATGAAACAAGCTTAGGAAATAGATGGAACATTTCATCCGAGTACACGCTCACATGAATATTACTAACTTCATCGACGTTCTTTTGTTAGTGATTATTGTAGATCTTTTAGAATAAGGCCCAATTTATATCTTAGTAATTTTACAGAAGCTTTAAAATGTAATCCTAATGTATTGATAATTTGATATGATTTTATCGCGCCTGACTTACAATGTTGGCTTTATAATTGCAAGGTACTCGAACTAACTTATTACCATAGATATTTATCAGAAATAAATTCAATGAAACTTGGAAGAGTAGGTTATTTAAGTATAGGAAAAAATACTCAAGAGTTATAAATGTGATTCTTTCGAACAAGCTTTTGATATGTTCTCTAATAATAAAACATTGATTCATATGATTGCTAATGATTTACATGAATTTTTACGATTAAAATTTCAACTGTACAAAAATATTTGAACAGTTATAATCATTCAATATCATTCATTTCGTTTTTATTTATTTGATAATGGTGAACAGTTAGTCATTGATTTGTGTTTGTATATTTGGTGACTTTCATTGATTAACGTCGAATAATTGCAAGTTTCTATTTACTCATTTTTATTACTATTTTTCTGACACTGGGAGCAACAACAACTGTTAGAAAATATAATTTAAAAAAAAGATTAATACGTGAATTTCATAATATTTGCATTCAATAAGACTGGTGCTCAGGTAGACCAATATATTTGCCAGTCTACGTAAGTTCGTCGTTGCAACATATATGTTGATTAAAATCAGTTATTTACTTTGGTGCAAAAATGTAACAAGCAATAGCAGTTGTTGAGAAAGAATGCCAAATAATCAGGATGCCGTGACAGATGTTAAAGAGAAAGAAGAAAAAATAGGAACAAAAAATATGTAATGACAAAAGAGTTGCTGTTCGATTGTGTTGAATCATAGAAGTTGCTTACCAAGTTTATACCGAGAAGTATATAATGACACTTAATGCAAACATATGTTGCTATGACGAAATCGCGCAGATTGGTGTCAACATTTATCTACCAGACTAACATTTTCATAATGAAAAAATAGACTAAAAGAAAATTATTTTTAGCAAGCATTGATACGATTTGCACATGTTATATATGAAAAGTAGTTAGTGGAATTTTTATTTCAAAAAGTCTTGCTCAGCAGACAAATGTTACCCATGCATCTGCTTTATATTGTCATTGCAACATGTATTTTGATCAATCAGGATCTTCTACTTCGTGAAAGGTATATAATAAGCAATTTGGCATTAACATTCCTATGAATGTCACTCGTTTGATCCTTACACATTCTGTGCTGTTTATTCTTTCACACGACCTATGGCAAAGATAAAGACATAATTATTGCATTAGATTGTTCTTGTGGGAAAAAGAACTCATCTTGAAAATTCGCATCAAGAGGTGAACGATCAACATTATTCGAAGGAATGTTGCAATGACGAAAACGTGCAGATTGACACAGGCACTAACTTGCCAGAACAACACTATTAAAAGCGATATTTTTTTACTGAAAAGTAGTTGATAGAAACTCTTAGATAAAATAATATGGTTTTTTTTTTCTCTTAGTATTCGTTGAAAAAGAAGTTCTTAACACTTTTTAAAGGACTGAAAATAGAAATTAGCTTAAATTTAATCAAAACATTGATAATAACAAATAAATTTTTGCGTATCCAAATGTTAATATGAAGTAAAAGCGGGTAGATATTTTGTTTCAATATTAGGAGTTGTTGTTTATTAAAAGGTTTGAAATATGCTTAAACTCGTATTTAAAATTTGGCTTTCTATGCTTACAAACTACTATTCAATATGTCAATCAACAATTATTCTCTATCGATCAGATAATTTGAAATTACATCGTCGACAATTATTTGTACGTTATAAACGTATTGATGAACATCTCCAATCAATAAAAAGAAATTTCATTACATATAATAATGACAGATTGATTTTTTCTGATACAATTACTAATGTATCAACAATCTTAAATAATCTACAACGTACAACAAATAGATTAAAGAAAACATTAATCATATTTATATTATTCGTCGGTTGTATTATTCTCATATCGATAACCATTGTTTTAGTTTTTGTTTGTACAAAGTGTAGTCGTCCATCACGAATTCATAAACAGATTTCTATTGAATATCTTAATTCAAATGAAATGATCAATCACTTCGAAGAATCACCATCAATTAATACTCAATCACAACTATCAATTAATTCGTTGACTTCATTTCAATATTCTAATATTTAAACTAGTTTTATACATATATAATATTTAGAAAAATCTTCTTTATTGAAAAAAGAAGGTAAAAATAATTTGTCTAACAACTATTATTATTATTATTATTATTATTATTATTATTATTATTATGATTTTCTCAATTAAGCATATCATGCAGATCTTCTTTCGTATATTCTTTGTTTGCTTTTTTGTCTTTACCACTTAATGTCGACTGATCTTCTTTATTAGATATTGTACTATCAACAGGAGTCGGCGGCAGCGACTTTTCTTTTGCTTTAAGATTTGAATGTTCTTGTATAACTTCATTGGCTTCGTTTATTTCGTCATTGATATCTTCAGATGTTTTCGAAGATTTCAATGTTCCTCCAAATAGAGTTGCCGCTTCTTCACGGATAACTTCAGATAGAGTTCGGAGACGTCGAGACGAAGAAGAAGAAGGTGGTTGAGAGTTTTGTTTAGTTGGAGGTGCTTTTGTAACAGCAAACGGACAAAGTTTATGCTTATTTTTAATTTTAACTTCTTGACCAATGATTTGAGATCGTTTTTTATTTTTATTCTTTTTTGATTCCACTCCAATCTTTTTTTTTATCATATGTTTTTCATTAAAATGTTTTCTTTGTTCATCTTGATTTGGTCGTTTAGGCGAATTTTTATGTCGTTTTTTTTTATTTTTTTCACTTTTTCGAGTTGATGGTGGTGTTTGTAAAGGTGGTAATGATGGTGTTTTATATAAATCTTTCATAGCTTCATCAACACGTCGTTCAGTATCTTTATCTTCTATGCCTAATTTCGTTATACGAGAACGTATAAATTGTTTAGCACGTTGTTCTTTTCTTGTTTTTAATTTTTTAATTCGAATTCGTTTTGGTTTTTCTCTTTTTGTTACTGGTTGTTCAATATTTTCTTGTTTACAAAAAGAAAACGTTATAGGTAATGGTAAAAGACAAATAGATTTTTTTGCTGTTGGTACAAGACCAAATAAAACATATGATGATGCTCGACGAAAATATTCCATAAATGGCGTTTCATGAATATCATCAATATTAAGAATTTTTTCAAATGATTCTTCAACTTTTTCTTGAAGATTGTCTTTATTTTTTCTTTTTGATGATGACGGTAATTTTTTAGTACGTTTTCCACTTTCACGATTGGCAGCTTCTTTTAATGCATCAATTTTACGTCGAATACGATAACTGAAATAAGTAAACGAGTTTAAAACAAAAACATGCGACTTTTTTTCTCAAGAAAATAATTTCAACTAACCGATATTTCCATCCGACGGCTCGTTCTTCTTGTGCAAGTCGTGCTAATTCTGGATCAAGTTGCTCCTGAATTGATGTTTGATCTTGACTTTTTTTTGTCGATGTTTTTGATTTATTATGTTTTTGTGCTTCTTTCATTTTTGAGACTCGATATCGATATTGCCAACCAACAGATTTTGTTTGGTTTTTTGGTGTTTCTTCGATGGATTCAGTTCGTTTCTTCTTTTCCGTTGACTTTGGCTTTGATGGAACAACTGCCTCTTCATCTTTAACACTTAATGTTGCTAAATCAAATGCTATTCCAGTTTCTAATTATTCAAATAAAGAAAAAAAAGAAGAGAAAGAAGTTTTATGAACACTGAATAATAAAATTAAATATTCACCAGCTTGTTGTTGTTTTAAATCATTAAGTTTACGACGAATACGATAACGATATGCCCATCCAACACGACGACCTTCAGGACTTATTTGACGTAATTCAGGATCAAGATCGTTTTCTCCAATAATATGTTCATCATCTTGAGATTTATTTAGATCTGATTGTTTCTTTTCTTGTTCAAGACGTTCTTTAAGTTTTTCTTGTTCATCATCAATATAATCTCCACGTTTTTTAGCGTCAGCCATTTTATTTATACGATATCGATATCGCCAACCAGCATTAGGCTTATTGTCCTAAATGAGAAACAAAAAAGCAAAAGAAAAGAAATTTGATTTTTCTAATTTTTATTCAATTAAAAAAAATTGAGTTACTTCTACAGTTTTTATTGCTTCTTCTTCTTTTTTTTTTAATTCATCCTCGTCAGAAACAAATGGTTTATCTAAAACACGTTTACGTTTACCACTTAATTCTTGCGGTGTTTTACGTTTGATAGCTTGTAAACCTAATTTTAAACGTTCTTGATCTTCACGAATATTTTCACGTAATGAATCAATATAACGAGAAACACGATAACGAAATTGCCAACCCACACGAGGTTTATATAAACCACGATCATATGACTGAACGATAAGAATTGGATCGGTAGATTCTTCAAGAGTTTTCATTCGACGAAGTTTATTTGTTTTGTCGACATCTTCTTCATCATTATCATCATCTTCTTTATATTTATTTTTTCGTTTAGACATTAATAAATGACGTTTAGGTACAAATGTTTCGGTAATTGATACGGTATTGACGGTATCTTGGTTAGATCTATATGTATAAAGGAAGGGTTAATATCTACATACAGGTTATTGAATTTGTTTTCTTTTTGATTATTCACCTGAAAGACTGAAAATGTTGTTTTAATGAAAATAAAAATGAAATTTAATATGAGGGTTTGTATATATTTTGGAATAAAACTGAAAGATTTGTAATGAGATATAACTATGAAACTAACATCTTTAATTTATAAGTTCGAAAACAAACAATAATAATAACTTTTGATTTTTGTCAAAACATCCGATATAGAGTGGTAATACTGTAAAGTTTTGTAAGATTTAAATGGTTAGTAAAGCAACCTTATCCTTTAGTAAATTAGAATAAAAAACATAAAGAAAGGAAGAAGTAATCATCAGCTTGAAAATAGACCTGTAAACGTATTCCGTATGTATATGTAAGTTCATTTCTTTCTTGCGTATAGAAAAAAAATTGTTTTATTTATTCTGATGATTACACAAATTAGGACATAAGTCCCGGTTTTTAATCGCTCTCGCGTTCTACAATTCAGTAAAAAAAATAAAATTCGATAAATAGTTAACTCGATCATCAATGATATACAGAACTAGTGTTCAGACAGTGTATCGAAACTCTAGAATCTGACTCAAGAGTCAGATGAAGATGTTATTTTGTCAGTCTGACAGAGTTGAGTAAGTTTAGTACGTACTCAAACTCCTACTGAAGAAAATCTGTACACATCGTGCTCTGAAGTGTGACATCTAAAGAAAAACTGTTGAAATCTTTTCTTATGTTTAACATTGATCCTTGTCATATAGAAAATTGACTGATTGATCGAAAACAAAACTTAAAAAAGAAAGAAAACCATTACAACTCAAATTACTGCTGTAAAAGAAAAATCATGTGAATGGACATATCTACAAAGCTGAGAATTATATTAATATTATGAATAAATTCGTTTCATTTTTTCAAACATAATTTCTGAAGTAAAACGTTTTAAATATAATAAATTTCGAATAAAATAAACTTACATTTTATCCTTATCCCAACTTATATGGTCATCATTAGAATGTTTCAAAAGTTTTCGTTTTGAAAGTTTTCTATTACGTGACGGATTTGTTTTTTTTTGATTTTGTTTCCAATTTGATTGTCGTTGTTGGGAATGTCGTTTAGTTTTTCCTTCTCCTATTATTCTATTTTTATTTTTATTTTTATTTTGTTTCAGTTTTTGAGCATCAAGATAACGTGAAATTCGATAACGATACGTCCAACCAACTTTAGGCTTATTTGCATTGACATTGTTTATTGATGCTGATTTTTTTTCTTTTTCATTATTAGCTTTTGATAATATCAAAGATTTCTTTGTTTTGACAGAAAGTAATCGACGTTTAGATATACTGGTTACAACAAATGATAAATCATCAGTTGCCACATCAGGTATATCATCATTTGAATAAAGATCATATTCATTATCAGTTATATCATTATTCATAATTATTGATATATTATTATCATCGATGGAAAGTAATTTACGAGAATGATATTGTTGATGTTCATTTGTCATGTCGATGATATGATTTTCTTGAGTATAATTATCATTAAGAAAATCATCTGATAATTGAAACATATTTTTAACGAAATGATAAGCACGACCAACAACTGATTTATTTTCATCATCATGTGTACTTAATGGTTCAATTGTTTCGTTTATGATATTGCTCGGTTCTGGTTTGTCTTCTTGAGTTTTTTTATCTATTGTTGATGGTAATGGAGAAGAAAAAGATGATGAAGTTGTAGTCGGTTTATCAGTAATAGGTGGAGTGAGAGATATATTCTCACTCGTTCTATTGATTAATATTTTTTTGGTTTTCTTCTTTTCATCAATATTAGTTTTATTATCTTTTTTTGTAATTTTTGCCTTTTTATCATTTATAGGTAAAGTTGCGTTTGCCGTGGGTAAATTTTTTGTAATATTTTTCGCAATTTTAATATTACTAGTAGCATTTTTGGTTTTAGATAGTATTGTTTGTTTATTTGCTTTAGATTTGTTTAATTTTTTAATATTTTTATCGAGTTTTGGTGTTGAACCAATATGAAATAATGTTTGATGTTGATGTGGTTCATCATGATTAACAGTTACTAATTCTTGAGTTTTAATATTGATTGATGCTTTATGTTTTTTAAAATTTTTCTTTTTCAACAGTTTTTTCTTTTCATTTTTTGATTGTTTTAATTTTGATTTTTGTTTGATTGTTTTCAATTTTGGTTTTTCTTTATTTGTATTTAATTTTGGTGTTTCTTTCTTTGTGTTCAATTTTGACGTTTCTTTATTTGTATGCAATTTTGGTTTAAGCAAATGACTATATGAAGGAGCTTTATAACCAAATGATTTTGGTGTTTGTGGTCGAATATAAACTGTAAGACCATGAGAATCAATTGAACGAGCATATTTGGGTGGTGATGATGATTTTGAAGATAAAGGACTGTCATGAGACTTCTTTTCTACTAATGGTGAATTTAATGGCCCAACGGATAATAAACGACGAGGTGTTGGACATTGAAAATCAAACTTAAAGAATAATTGAAATGTTTTAATCGTGTTTTATTATTCTCTTTTTGTAGTTTACTTACTTCAGTAGGGTCAGCTGTAGACAATAATATAAGCAGAGTAAATACGAAATAAAATAGGGAAAGCTCCATGCTATATCGTGTAATATCTAATAATGCATACAAATATCTTTTCCTTAGTAAGGCAAAATAAGATGTTGACTTTTATGTTTTACTATTCTTGATGTCAATATGTACGAACAATGACCATTTCATCAAGTCTGTCTCATACAACGGCCGACCTCGTTCGACAGTTGATTGTCAACATAGAAGATATCTATATCTTCTATTGGTTTCTATACGTTTTCTATTTCTTGTCTCTATCCTTGCTGTTTTTTTTTCTTTTTTCTTCGTACGGTAACGTTGTCGTCCTTTAGTTATATACAGGTTTACTAAGGACGAGATATATGTAAGAAAAAATTGCAAGAATATTTGTATATGTATAAGTATGTATATAATAATAATTGAATCAGCCTTCGTGTCAATCAACTGAGAACGTAGCTGTTAACAGTAAAAGTCGACTTGATACCTTTAATAAACCACAAAATGTGTTGTTTGGTTTCAGTTGACGGCCAATATATCAAAGATAGATCGTATATTCGCTAGTTCTAACGGGCTTATGAAAAGGAATATGAGACAAGAATCGAGGAAACAATAAGTAATGCCACAGTTAAATAATCAACAAAGCAAATCTCCAGCTGTATTATTTTACGCACTATTTTGCTCTTTTTTTCTTCCATATCTATATAATTATTATGCATTCTATCTCTTGTCGTAACGGAAAGAAGAGAAAAAAAACGACCTTGGATGCGGTTAAAAGAGGCACAAAACGGGGTCGAATGCTCCTTTATATATATGTATATATATATATATATCACTAGGGTATATTAACAACAACAACTGGTTTATGTGCTATGTAGACATTTCTCAAGCCTACTTGGAAAAATATGTAGTTCTACGTAGATCGGGAAATTGTATACGTATTAAATAGAAAGAAAACCGCGCGAGCGAAAAAACTAAAAGAAACACACTCGTTTGATGATAGATAGATGTAAACATCAACATTTGTTTTATGTATCTGTACGCTTGTATTACTTATACCTCGCAAACGAATGCATATAGGCGTAACAAGTGAAATATTATTGAAGCGTAGCAAACCAATCATACGGAGTAATATCAGTCCTTCAAACGAGTGTCAACCATGTACGACAGTTATTTTATCGCTCAGTATTCAAACGGATAACATAGATAGAAATGATAATATTGTGTTTTTCATGGTATTTAAAAGCTGAAATGATTTAGTTTGAATGCATTGTTGTTTTTGCATATACATACATATATATATATATTAATTTCTATATTAATTTATTTCATAACATAAGAATTCTTATCAGTACTACAATAGATGTCAAAAAAAAAGGAGAAAATAATAATATATAATAACTGACATTGATCGCAAAGAAAGATATTGTGATGATATAAATAGAGAGAGAGAGAGAGTAAACAAGACAAAAAAAAAATAAAGAATATCGAAAAATTAAACCGAACCAAAATCTTTCATCCATTTATCATATTTTTCAAGCATTTCTTTTGAAACAGATGATGAAATTTTCGAAATGGCATTCGTAAAATCTTCCATTTTTGTTGGTAATTGTAATTGTTCTTTTAAATTTTGAGCTATATTTTGTATTTCGATCATACTTAAATTTTCAGTTACACGACGCATTTGCATCATTGCTGCATCTCTGGATTAAAAAACACATACACACATATATATATATATACATATATAAATTAATATAATTCATTATACTAACCGACAAACACTTGTTATATCTGATCCAGAATATCCTTCAAGTTTTTCAGCTATTAAATTTAAATTAACATCTGTATCAAGTGGAACTTCTTTTAAATTTATTTCAAGTAATTGTTTTCGTGTTTCAAGATCTGGTAATGGAATATAAATACGTTTTTCTAATCGTCTACGCATAGCATCATCAAGATCCCATGGATGATTTGTTGCACCAAGTACCATAACCATTTTTGATGGATCATCATTTCCTAATAATAAACAAGAAAATATAATAAAACGTTGAACAAAGAACAATACTACTGCTTTTCAACTACCTTGCAGTATGGGGTGCTGCTTAATGACAGATTCAATCGCTCGATATCTTCTCTAGAACTATGACTAGTAGTAACTTTGAACAGGAGACCGCCTTGACGCAGAGTTCTTGAACTCAATTGCTTGAGCTTTCCATACACACTTACTAACCATGAGAGCAGATGTATGTCATCAGATAGTCAGCATAATATCGAACGAGTAATGTGAGACAAATAGGCGTTAGTGACTTTTTCCGGATCTTTCCATGACTGATGGTACTAAGGTGGACCCACAGCACCATGTGAATACGTGTCGAATAGCGTAGCCACTCACGTGGAAACCTCTTCAAGTGTTGAATCGCTTTTCGATCGAAACGCTCTTTATTTGATGAGTACTATTGAGTGACAGAATAGTCTAAAATGATTTGGTTTCATGGACCCTCGTTCTTGAGACACCAAAATTTTTGCTGAATTTTTCAACAAAAAGCTGTAGTTCCCCTCAGGTCACATGAAAAATCAACTTCTGAGCTTCAATTTCAAACTCTGTACGAACAAAGCTCTCAATGACATTAGTTCATTTTACAAGTTGTAACTTCTCTCGGATCTCTTATGATAAGGTATTCAACATTCGAAATTCTTTCATGTCGAAAAGCAAGTTTTGTTCATATATTTACATCTCTGGAAGAAAATACCAGAAAAGCAAAAATTCGCCCAATGAACTAATCTCATTAAGAGCTTTGTTCATGCAAAGTTTGAAGTCAAAACTCAAAAGTCAGTTTTTCACATGACCTGAGGGGACCACACCTTTTCTTTGAAAAATCCAGCAAAATTTAGATTATCTCAAGAACGTAGGCTCAGAAAAGTAAACCATTTTAGACTTTTCTATTATTCATTAGCACTGATCAAATGAACAGCGTCTCAGTCGAAAAGTGATCTGACAACTGAAAAGGTACTCCCTATTCAGTCACGGCGGCCAACCGTTGAATGAAGTAAAATGAAAGAAATAATCTTACCAAGTGCACCTGATACTCCATCCATTTGAATAAGTAATTCGGATTTAGCACGTCGACTAGCTTCATGTTCATTTGTTTGACCACGTGATGAACATAATGAATCAATTTCATCAATAAATACCGTTGATGGTGCATAAAACTTAGCTAATTCAAAAAGTAAACGAACTAATTTTTCACCTTCACCATGATATTTTGATGTTAAATTTGCAGCAGCAACATTGAAAAATGTTGTTTTACATTCTGTTGCTACTGCTTTAGCTAACATGGTTTTTCCTGTACCAGGTGGACCAAATAAAAGTATACCCTAATTGAAATATATAATTAATATTAATATTTATAAATATACGTATGTTCTATTGAAATTACACTGGTTGATGAAGTTGCAACTTTGCTAGATAATTGAGTCGAAGTTACTTCACTTGAAGTAAATGCCAAAAAAATATCAGTTAATAGATAATAATGAAAGCAATGTATTAAAATTATAGGATGTGCCTTTTTAGTGTGGATGTGGATGTGAGTATGGGTGTGGTTGTTAATGTGGATGCCATTATGGATCCTTTCTCCTAATACACACCCACATTTCCACCCTTTACAATGAAAACTTAACTCTAATTTTATTTATTGCTTTTAATATTATCAATTAACTGATATTTATTTGGTATTTAGATCAATTGAAGTAACTTTATTGGTCAGTGTAACTTCGATACAACAGATATATATATATATGTGATAAATAATACCTTCCATGGTCGACGAATGCCTCTAAAAAAATCTGGCATATAAAGTGGTAATACAACAGCTTCTTGTAATAATTTTTTTGCTGCAATACAACCTGCAACATCCGACCTAAGATAAACTTCGATAATATGAATGAAAGAAAAAGAAATATTCATTTTACCATCGAACATTTGGATCTTTTTGAACAATATCACGTTCTAATCCTTCAACTAAATCTTTTTCTGCATTTGTTGGTTGATATTTTTTCTCCTAAAAATATAAAACAAACATACGTTTTTGTTTTCTTTTAATAATCAAAAGCAAGATTTAAACTAACTCCACTATTTTGTTGATTATTAACACGTTTATTATCATGTTGTTTTTGTTTATTATCTGGAAGATTTAATGTAGCTTTTCTAGATTTTATATTATTATTTGTTGATCGTACATCACGACGAGCTTCTTGAAAACGTGCAGCTGGTGTTTGAAATCTAGAATAAGATTTTTTTCTAGAAAAAAATTTTCTATTCATATATCTTAATGATTCTTACGGAGTAGCACCATATGGAGGATTTCGATTATTATTGAAACCTAAATCACGTGTCGGACGTTCATCAATAACTGCGTTATAAAAACTCTCTCCATCATTTAACTCATTATAAACATCACTACTAACAGGTCGTCCGCCACCACCACCACCACCAATAAATTTTCCTAATAAATTCTCATGAACTTCATTTATCATTCGTTCATGTTCTATTGTTAATTGAAGTTCTCGCTCAAGTTCTGCTAGACACTATATGGTAAAATGAAAAAACAAAACCACCATATAAATACGATGAAAATCAATCAAACAAACTTCAGTGCCACGTTTTTTCTCAGCTCCATCAAATAATGTTTGACAATAACGTCGAAGTTTATCAATAGCTAATTTATAAAATGTTATACCTTTACTATAATCTCCGTCTAAAAGTATGTTTATATATGTTCAATTTGAAATGATTTCAATGAAAGATTTCTTACACATATAATATTCACGTGCTTTTTGTATTTCTTCTTCAAAATCCTTTGGTTTAGAGGCAAGAGAAGCCATCTGAAATAAAAACTTATGTTGTCTAAAATTAAAATAAATTAAATTCAACAAAGAGTAAATGTATTACTTAATGCGCATTTAAGTCACTCTAAATAATGAAATAACTATAAAGTATTGATTGTAAACAAAAAAAATCGTTTATTTTTAGTAAACTTAATGTTTATTTCGGAAAAACAAACATAAAATGATGAATTTTTACCTAAAAAATGGTGTTTAACACAAAGAAAAAAAAAACAAATTAAGATGATACTACAAAAAAAGATTTCAACAATCCTGATGACTTTTAGTCAATTAAATTTCTTCTCCACATTCAAATCGTGCAAAATCATTAACATTTAATTGGTTTTCATTAAGAAATATTTCTACTGTTTTTTTCTTATCATCGGTATGCATCCATTTTTGATATAATAAACGATCTTCATCATTTCCTATTTGTTTCTTTTCATTAAAACCAATTGTTTTCGAACGTGTTGCTACAATATGTTGAGCAAGTAAACGTCCAAATTGTTTTGTCTATAAAAGAAAAAAAAAACAACCCTTGAACTTTTTCTTCAGTTATGGTTCGTCAATAGATTATTGATCAAATTTCACATTCGATTAGAGATTAGATTATTTTTTTGTTTTGATAACATAAGAAAAAAAAAAGAATACGTTTGTGTAAGGTTATATAGTTCTGATGTAAACAAAGGAAAAAAGACAAAAATTAATCCATCAAAAACAAAAAAGCCTTCCTATATATATATTCTTCATCTTAAATAAATAGTATATTCGATTTTGTATTCAATCATAACAAACGAATATGACGGAAACACTTGTTAATACTAATGCCAATGATATTCAATCAATTCGTATGCAATATGTTGATAAAACAGCACATTTATCAACACAACCAAATTCTTTAACTGAATTAATTGATTTAATTTATCAAGCATTTTCTACAAGTGATGTTGATATTGATTATGTGTATACAATAATGAACAATTATAAAGGTAATATGAAAGAATGGGCACCATATATTAAATTTCAACAAAATAAATATACAAGAAATTTAGTTGATGCTGGTAATGGAAAATTTAATTTAATGATTTTATGTTGGGCTGAAAGTCAGGGCTCATCAATACATGATCATACGAATTCACATTGTTTTATGAAATGTTTACAAGGAAATTTAGTTGAAACGAAATATGCATGGCCAAATGGTGACAATGAAAGTAAAGAAGAACCAATGCAATTTATCTGTCGAACAGAATTAAAAGAAGGACAAGTTGCTTATATAAATGATACAATCGGTTTACATCGTGTTGAAAATCCAAGTCATACGGATACAGGTGTTACATTACATCTTTATGTACCACCATATGATCATTGTAATATATTTGATGAACGAACAGGTCGAACTAATGAAGTGCATGTTACATTTTATTCAAAAGGTGGGCAAATAATAAAAAATGAATGAAAAAATGAAGAAATTATGGAATGAATAAATGAATAATTTATTTATTTTCTTGTCTTTTTTTATTTTGGCAATCTGACTTGAAAATGAATGAGTTTAATTCACATTAGATAGAGTTTTTTTCACTGGATAAGTTTTCCTTTATTATGTGAAAAATAATGATTTATTGATTTTTTTTTTCTCAATAAAAAAAGAAAACAAAAGTAATTAATATTTATTTTATTCATCAGAAATCGATCATTGTGTCGAAATATATAACATTATTAGATTTCAAATGTTATACGATTACGAAGTTTAGAATTTCATGATAATATGTGATAAATAATTTCTAATAGGGAAGAAAAGAAAACTGATTTCTTTTGTTTTTTTCATTTTGATAACATAAAATGATATTTGTTTTTTTTGACACAAGATCATTTTATCTTATCAAAATGATTCATATATTGAAATATAAAACTTAACATTTGACTTACCATATTATTAAATATATCAGTAAGTACTAATTCACCATTACCAATTGCTTGCACTAATGGAATTTTATCTTGTAAACCATAGTATTTTCTCGTCCATTTCGATGATTCACCATCACGAAAATCGACTTGAGCTATTTTTAAATTTGGCCAAATATAAATAATTTCTTTTAATGATGGAATTCTTTTATAGTTAATTGATTTTTCATGTAATATAAAACGTTCAGTTGTTGGTGTAATAAGTTCAATAATAACAACTGGTTCACGTGTTATTGCTTGATCCGCTTTAAGTGTTTGATTACTAAGACTTAAACTTGGATAATAAATATAAATAGGATCAGGTGTTTGTATGCGAATATCCATTGGAAGAATATGAACATTTTTTATTTGTTGTTGCTCAATTTGTGCACTTAAATTCTTTACAAATAAATCATGTGTACTTTCACGTGATGGTAAGGCATAAATATATCCATTAAGATATTCATGAATTTGACTTGCTTCATCTTCTTGATCAAGATAAGTACTTAATTCAATTGGTTTTTGAATATTATTTTGACATATTGTTCGTAATGGATAAGAACGAGTCAATATAGCTGAAGATAATGTTGAAGCATTTTCATCCTAAAACAGAAAATATAAAAAAAGAATATTTTTCTTTCTATTTAATGATTTATTACGTTTGAATCATTCGTTATAGTTGAATCAATTTGAGAATAATTAACAAGTGCACCATATTTTCCCATACGACATGTATCTGTACTTGCATTATTAATTTGTCCATGGCAATAACTAGCTAATATTTGATTATTTTTAATATTAAATATAACACCACGCCGTAAAATAACATTTTCTCCAACTGATCCAACACATAAAGCTGTTATATCAGCTAATGTTTTTGAACGATCATCAACAGAAGGTAAAGTTGATAGAGCATCTTTATCATAAAATATCTTTATAAAGAAATATAAATTAATAGAATGAAGAAGAAAAAAATCAAAGATCATCAAAGAAAATAAAAACCTTTTCTTTCGATTTATCCTTTTGATTAACTATTAAACTATTTGCAACATGAGAAACAAGTTGTTGAAATTTTTCATTTTTAGCCACAAAATCAGTTTCACAATTAATCTAAATAAATACATATATTTAATGGTGGTGACGAACGTTTAGAGCAAATGTATTTTAAAGTTTTCTCGTTAATGGTAATAGTTAGAAAGAACTTGAAAAAAATATTTGTATAACTGAAAGGAATCTCTATCAGGATTAGTAGGTCCAAAGGTTTCAACAAAACTGCTTGAATAAGAGTCTGGGCAAAATCAGCTGTCTGACTTTCGTTCGCAGCTTTTGAAAAAATATTCTATTTGATAAAACAAAATGAGACACCTCAAATCGCTCTAGGATTTTCCCTCATCGAACTGCACTTAATTGACAGAAGATTCAAGAAGTATTTTTCTTCTGTTTTTATTGAAAGATTCAATATATTTACCGTGTTTGACACTTTGAGATCTTCTGTAAATTGAATGCCGTTCGATAAAGAAAAGTCATAGAAAAATCGGAGACGTCTCATTTTGCTCTATCAAATAAAATATTTCCCCAAAAGCTTCAAATGAAAGTTAGGAAGCTAGTTTTGGATATCTTGGTTTTCCGCAGATCATCATCCAAGCAGTTGTTTAAAGTCTTCAGGCCTACCAATCCTCATAGAGAATTCTTTTTCAAACTCTTGCTGGCTATTACCATCGAACAGAAAATTAAAACATACAGCTGCTCTAAACTTTTGTCTTCTACTATATATAAAATAGTCTAAGATTTTAGTTTTACGAACCTCAACCATCGCAGCTGAATCTGCATTTGTAACAATACCAATTAAACCTTGAGATGCAGCACGACTTTGTAATTTTGTTGCTCGACTCCAACCTTCAGCTTGAGCACGTTGATGAAGCCATGCTTCAGCCTTAAAAAATAAGACAAATTTTGTAAAAATAAACTTTTAGTACTTTTAAAAATATTTACTTGTTCAATATTATCATTAAATTGTTGAAGTGCTGTCCGACAATGGGATAAAGAATAACCCGTTTTTTTTCGTAAAACACTTAATGGTGATGGTGAATTTGAAGCAACAGCTGATTGAGATAAATATCGTGATACATTTATATGAATAAATCGTCGCCAGACAAGCATATCTTCAATAATACTTAAGAAATAAGTTTTTTATTTAGTGTTTTGCTGTAAATAATATTTACAAAAATGAAACAAAGCAAATAAATTTCTTTAATGAAATTTAATTCTAACTTAAATCATACAGATAATTAAAATTCGATATAGAACTATAGAATTTATTGAAAAGGCAATCGGAAACTTATAATGTATCGTTTGAGATGAAATATATAAAAACAGTTTATTCCTTTAATATATTTTATAATTCTAACAGTCGGATAACTTGCTCCTATCTCAATCATATCTTTTTTTTTTATCTTATATAAAAAAGAAAAGAGACAAGTAATTTTTTTTCTAAATATGCGAATCATTTTCTGTACGTTTAAAAACACAAAACAAAATATTTACAATGCAAACAAAGAATCACAACAAACTCTCATACACACAAGAGATTCTAATACTAAACAACAACAGAAAAAGAAAACAATATCAAATTAATATAGATATTTTAATGTGGTATAAAGTCAACATCATTATCGATTGAATGTGTATGATGACTACTACGTTTAGTACGTGGTGTACTAATTATTTCATCAGTTGTTGTTGTCGTTGTTATTGATACGGATGTTTGTGTATTAACTACAACTGGTGTTGTTGCTGCAGCTTTTTTGCCTTCAAGACGAGCTGAACGTGCTCGTTGTCCTTTGATTTCTGATGTTTGTGTTACTAATAATCGTTTTTGATTATTTGTTACAGTTGCTACAGCTGCATCAATTGATTTTGGTAATAAAATAGTTTGTTGATTTGTTTGTTCTGATTGTACAAGAGAATTTTGTTGTTGATATTGATAATGATGATGATGATGGTGATGATGATGATGATGATGTCCTTTACGACGATTTTTCATTTCACGTTTATTACCTATAGAATCTTGAGTATTTATTAATGTATTTACTGTTGATCGTGGTTGTTTTGTACCACCATAATATGGATGTACATCATGAACAGGTGGAATTTTTAATTGAATATCATATGTTTCATCAGCTGAAACACGTGTTTGTAATGATGGACTTGTTGTACGAGTTTTTGGTACATTAGATACAGGTGTTGGAAATTCAATATCAGGATCTTCAATGTCAGGTGCAACTGGTAAATAAATAAGTTGATCATTAATATCATCATCATCACTTGATACTAATGCTTCAATACGTTGATCAGTAACAACATCTATTTCAATATGATCATCATCATTATTTTTAATATTACCATTTGTATCTAAACGTTGTCGTTTATTTGGTGAACCTGCATAATCTAAACCATCTAAACTACGATCTTCATCTTTAATATCAAATTCCGATTCACGTTCATGATATTCAACATTTTCTTCAAGTTCACGAAAATCTGGTGCAAATGCTGACCAATTTTCAACTTGAGAATGTGACCATATAGATACAACACCACTTGATATACTCGCAATTATTGGACGTACTGGATGCCAACATACATCAGCTAATGCTTCACCTTTTGTACCATGTAAAATTTTAACTAAATTACCTGATACAGTTTCCCAAATATATAATGAATGTTGTCGAGATGATGCACCACATATATATTCACCATCACCTGACCAACAACATTTACGCCATAATGATTTATTAACAAGATCTTGAAGTTTTTGTTTTGGTTCAAGATCACGACCAATACCACATGATAACATTTCAGTATAGCTATAGATTCGAATTATTCGATCACTTGTATTAACAAGACAATATTGACCTAGAAAATGGGAAAAAATTTAATTTGATTTCTATTTATTAGTTGAATGATTTTCATCTAGAGAATCTATCTTGTTGATCTAGGAACCACTATAGTTGAGTGACTACTTTATTCGACAGATATCCACAAGTTTCAATGTTCAAATCTCAGTATGAGCAGTCATGGAATGATCTCAGACAAATCACTAACGGCTGTTTGTTTCGATTCACACTCATTTCGACCTTCTGTCCAGAGCTATAAGTAGTATTAGTTGTTGAAAGCATATCCGGCAGTTGCATTTATCACTCAGCAGCATCCAATATCGCAATGTAGGCGAAAGACAGAGGTATTCTTTCTTCTTCTTCCTGTAGTTATAAATTACTTATCTTAATTAGCTGTTAAAATGATCTAATAAGATTTTTGTTTTCTTGATGGAATTTGATCGTTAACTTATTACATCGTTGGCGAAACATATTTAGTCTTTTATCAAACAAATATACATTTATTCTGAATAGAAGTTTGGATATTTTAAATAATTTAATATTTAAAAATCATCATTTACTTTTTTTAATAATTTATTATTAACTAATATGAGAAATAAAACTTTTAAAGAGAAAAACTCATGTAGAATGTTAAAGAAAGATTTAATGTTTTTTATTCTGGTATCTCATCTACAGATAAACTTCGAATGATGATTACGTAAAATTTTCAAGAATTTTGATTTTACAATACAAAAAAAATTGATATTAGAAAGACAGACAAATTATTATCTATGAATGTATTTAATTTTCAAGTTTTCTTACAATCTAATAGAATTTAAGCATATAAAATAATGTCAATCATCATTTTAAATGCCATAATTAATTACTAATGAAAACTTTCGAAGGATTTGAGTTGCTATAGAGGGAGTTATTGAACTTTTAATATACCTATTTGTCAGAGATCCCTGTAGGATGCTAGATTTTTGGAAAGGTCATGGTTTGGAAACTATTTTTGTTTGAAGATCTCACATACAATAGCTTCTACACTTTGTATTTCTGCAACGTGAACTTTTCAAAAACAGATGCTTTTCGAAGTGTAGATAATAATATAAGAATATTTTGAAAAATTCATATCTTGAAAATATGAAGTGTGAAAACTCTAAAACTCTCCATATAAGACCTTCAAATGAAGATTGTTTTAAGAGAAATTTTCTGAGAATCTAGGATTCTATATGAATCTATGTGACAAATAGGTGCATTGAAAAATGTAATAGTTTGATCAAGTCTAAATAGAAACTGAAATTCTTCCAAGGTTTTCACTGGAATACTATGTAGTATCTAAAGGCAAAACAAATCATTAAAATCGAAATGAGACATTTCGAAAGGTACCTTCGCAAGTTTTTATAATAGATCTGAATAGAATTAATGTTTAATCATTGACAACTTTGATTGATTTATTTATTTTTCTTACCTCGACGAGGAATTTCAATATGTCTTAATACCGTATTTGTATTTGTTCCAGTTGTTATTCGAAATGATGAAATAGTTTTTAAATCGGAAAATGTTTTAACAACAATTAAACCACGACTATTACCTAATATAATATGTTCACCTTTTCTATCAAATGTTGATATTATATCATTTGGTTCATCATCAATTGTAACTATTGTATGTTTACCATTATTATCAATTAAAACAGGTGGATGTTTCATTGGACATATAAGTAAATAAGAAGAATTACGTGGATGAAATTGAACTTTAAGTATAGGTGATTGTATACATGATATACGTGTGCGACAGCGACCTGTTGATGTATACCATATACAAACAGTATTATCTGTTGATGATGTTGCTATTAAATCTGATTTTTTTGACCATGATATACAATATATTGGTGACCAATCAGCACAAATTATTTTAGCTATACCACGTGTTAAAAAATCCCATACAACAAGACGACCATCAGAACAACCGACAGCTAACATTGAACCTATTTCGTTTTGGTTTGCAAAAAATATAAATGTATATGTATTCGGTTTGTTTTTAATAAATACTTACCAACTTTATTAAAAGCACAACAAACAGCCATCGATGCACAATCAAGTGTGCCATCGAATTCTTCAGGATAATTTTGTTGAAATGTAGAAAGTAATTCAATATTCATTTTTTCATCTACAAAAAAAAATAATAATAATGACATGTTTATCGTTCATTTATTTTATTGCATTTAGATACAAATAGAAAAAGAAATTCATCATAAGAGAACAATAACAGGGAAAAAAAAATAACTATCTGACATTGATTATCTAATTGTTTGTTGTGTTTGTTACTATCGATTATTTGAGTTTATCTAATAATTGTTTAACAATATCTTGTTCAGCAATAAGTAATCGAACAATTTCTTGTCCATCATTTGTACTTTTACCAAGTTTAATAAGACGATGATCAATAAATTCAATTAATTGTAAACGAAGATTTTGTTCATTATTTACATAAAATGAACGTTTACATTGTTCATATAATTCAGTAAATTTCATGCCTGAAAAAGAAAAATTATAGATATATACATTAAAACTGTTTTAGTAAGTCATTCGTACTGTCTAATGAGGATATGATTTGTCATTTGACAACCACAATTTCTCTATGTGCCTTCATTCTATTTCTTTTTTTTAAATTCTTACTTATTAGGGAAAGAAAAACTTCATGTCTCAAAAAAAAAAGGCGTTCTAATCATAAAAGTATTCTTTTATATAATAGTAACAAAGCTGAATTCAAAAAAGAGACACTGTCATCCCTGAATATTGGCATGTTTTGCCAAACAAAAAGAAAAATACCATTGGCTACAACGAAGCATCTTCAGGAATTCTGAGATGCACGATCAAAAACACATTAACAGAGAAAAAGCGAAAGGAATTTTCCGCTTTATCTACAAGAAAACTAAGTTGTCAAATAGATATTTTTTTTAAATCCGATAGTATATGATTAATTTTGATGAAGTTCGAAGAAAAAGCTTTTTTTCTTAAAAGGATGAATTCTCTGTAATTGATCGAGAATATCTATACTAAAATTAATAGTAAAATGTCAGCAAAAATAATCCCTGAAACATGTGAAAATCAATAACGAAAATCGATTTCAATGAGATTAAGAAAAACCTTTAAAGGTTAATTTTTATAACTTAGTATCAGATGTTTTTGAACTCAAAAACGTTGTGTAGAAATGATTAGAATCTTTCATAGAATCATTGAAAAAACGATTACTTAACTCTATCACAAACATGTATCTTATAAATTCAAAGAATAGTCTATACTAAAATAAAATTCGATATAAAAATAATTTGACAAATGCCAGTTCCTAAACAAAATGACGTAAGAGAAAAGAGAAGCACACTGAAAAAGAGTTCCCACTTTTTATAATTATACATCCGAAAATTAATTTTCGATGTAAATTTCTTTTTCTTTGTTGAGTTTAATCTCAACAGAAGCAGTATAAGGATCATGAGAGTAATCATTTTTTTCTTGAGCTTTGCTATCGATTTTCCAAGTGCTTTGGTAATTTTTGATAAGAACATGATGTTGTAAGTGTTACGATTGATTATTAATTGGTTAAAGTTGAAACGCTTCACTGATTGATACTATAACGAGATTGTTACAAGATTTCATCAGTTGTTTTAGTTTTTGATTAGAATGTTAACTAAACGAATATTCTTTGGTAAAAATTTGCGTTGTCCATATTTTCAATATTTAATAAATAATTATCCTAGGAATGCCATGTTTTATAAAGAGAAACGTTGACTGTCGATTGCTACGATTTATTTAATGGATTAATATAAAAATTGCAAATTCACTATGCAAGTGTTTCTCTTTCTTTATGAATATATGACAGTATTAAGTTACAGATTGTTCGAAAGAGAACAATATCCGTTTTCATTTAATTAAAAAGGTTTTTTTTTCGCACAATTCTATCGAAGAGAAATGAGAGTCGACATTTGTCCTATTATTTTTGTATCACATGTTATGATTAATAACCGTTTTTTTTGTTACGATTTCCTAGTCTTTCTACACAATGAGAGTAATTCCTTCGAATTCTTTTAAATAAATATTAAATTAACGTCATACCTTCATAATCTTTTGAATTACTATTAGCCAAAAATGCTTCCACAAGTAAACGAAAAATTCGTCGTGCATTTGGTGTTAAACTTTCAATAACATGTTCAACAGCAGTAATTGATAATTGACCTAAATATTCAATTAATTAAAATAATTTCTCTAAACAAACGAAATTTTTTTACTTGTTTTTAAACGAATTGTATTAAGTCTTTCATTAGTTGTTTCATCAATATAAGGTAACCTAAGTAAGGAAATAATATTTATTCTTATCGATTTTTGAACTTACCATGTATGTACAGTATACCATATCCATCGAAAACTATTAAGACTTTGTTGATTCCAAACTAAACAAAGAAAAAATAAAAATAACAAACAAAATCTTATTTTGTTTAGTTTTTTATTTTACTTAATGGTCCATGTATATGATCAATAGTAGCAAAAATATGAATATATTGACATTGTGCTGCTGATTTAAATATATTTTGTACATTAATATTACGAAAATTCATTCCATCGATATTATTTATCAATAAATAAATGTGTAATTCTAGATAAATGAAACATTTTTTTTTTCTCAAAAACATTTTAAAGAAAGACTTGAATTAATTTACTTTCTTTTTCAAGTTTTTTTATTATATCTTGTATACATTCATCATTACTATTCGATGGATTAATATTAATCTCTGAACATGAACAGATAGTTTGAAGGACCTAAATAATGATTTTGTTTTCTGATGTGAAAATACTATATAGATAAAGACTGTCTAATAAATTGTGATTCTTCTAAGTAATCTATTTTTCTTATATGTTTCTACAATGAAATAGGTTGATAGCTATAAACATAAAATAAAAGTAATGTACATAGAGCAGTAGAAAAGATATTTCGCTGAGCTTTATGAAAACCTATTATTTGTGTGCAAATATTCTATTATAATCCTTCGACATATTTAGAATTATGTGCCGAAATTTCAACTCTTTAGGTCTGATGGATTGTTGCATTTTTGTGGTTTCTTTTAAACTAGTCAGACATTATTTTCGATATGCATCCAAACTTTCTCCTACCAAAATACACTTCACAATGCGTTGAATTGGTCATCTACTAATACGAAACATGAGCTGGATTTAGACCGCAGTAAAATAAGTTAGTTTTATCCTACATGAGATATTACCACTGAAATAAGAATTGTATACATATATAAAACTGTTCGTGCGCGAGTTTGGAAGTCGTATCGAAAATGTCAAGTGACTCATTTGAAAAAAATACAACGATACATAAGTCGCAAAGGACTGAAATTTCGCTCACAATCCTAACTATGTCGATACCTTATAATAAAATACTTTCACTGAAATTATGATTTTTAGGAGAGTCGAACAAAAAATATATTCTAGTGTCAATTGTAAAATTTATAAGAATTATTGAATTATTTCTGCCATTTTATTAATAAATAGAAAAAATTGTAGTCTGAAAGAGAATTTACAAATAAAATTTCTTGAAATATATTTAAAAAAACCTGTTCATTAATGTATCTATTCTCCAACTTAATCATATCACATGTTTCAATCAAGTCGATATTTTTTTCCCATCATTCACTCATATATTGCTGCCGTAAACATTTCTAAAGTCGTCTTTTTCATTAAAAAAGCATGATAACTCAATTGCAAAAAGGAAATACCAGAATCAAGAGGAATAACAGCAGTCACCTGTCAATTCAATTTGTCACTATAATTCAATTAATCTACTCATTCGGATGTTTTGCTGTTTTTGCACGTTTCAAATTGCATATAAAAAGAATTTGACATCTAGTATATATGTCTATTATAAATATCTAACCTATTCTATTGAAGCAATCTATATATATATATAAAGAAGATGACTTGAAAATATCAAAACTTATTAGATATTCTCTATGTACTTGTTTAATTGTAATATTTGGGAGAAAACCATTGATAATAAATGTAAGATATTCATTTTTTAAATATTTCTTGAAAAAAAGTGATATAAGCGATTTTTTTGAGCCAACACCATGTAGAAGAATATTGAAGCCAGCTCTAAAAGAAAAAAAAACATCATTATTATTGGTCGTATCAGTGTTTATTCAGTAGTATAACGAAAAATTTTACAGATAGAATTGACTTTTAGCTTTGGAAGTTTTTGTATAAATTTTCGTTAAAAAAAATTGAACTAAGAACTTCAAGACAATGTTCATATAAATCCGAATCATACCTTCCTATACGTGTAATCTCATGAAACTTCAAGAATCTCGCTAGACTTTAAAATTTGATAAATCAATTTGTTATACTGATGCGAAAGTCTCTTCAAATATCCTCTCATGATTTAAATGATTTTTGTTTAGGTCTATAAATGCTAGATATTGTTCTAATAATGATCCTAAAAGAATTTGAAATTCTATTTAAAACAAACCTTAAATATCTAAACCATTCATCGAATTCATTTCCATGAAGAACATTAATCATTAAATATTCACTAGTTTTTCCATGAAAATATTTTTCTTGAATTTTTAATGCTGTTTGTTGAAGATCATCAGGTGTTAATTGTATTAAATTACTTTTAAATTGTTTCTTTTTTATTGTATTAGTCTAAATTACGTGGAAAAATTTGTCTACCAATAAGATAAAAACAATTATTAATGGTGAAACTTTTTTTACATCATCGTTTGATAAATTTGGTTCAAGAAGAATTTTATCCATATTTTCTTGTTGCATAATATTATCTGAAGCTTCAATGAAAAACAACAGTATAATGAAAGATAAAATAGAGCAAAAAGAAAACGATAGTTTTCATTACTTTTTTCAGCCAAAATTTTTTTCTTTGTATGTTTACGTTTTTGTTTAATACCTTAAAAAGAAAAATTCGAATGAAAAATTTTGGATGATATAAAATAAATATCAAACCATGACGGACAGGAAATCGAGGTAAAATATGTGAGATAACATGTAATCGTGTAATTTCATTCTCTTTAATATCATTATTTTCATCATTTATTATTGGAACTGGTGGAGCACTTTTATCTAATAAAATACAATGAATTTATTGTTTAATTTAAAAAAAAAACAAAAAAACTTACATTTGATTAGAGATCGACCTTTACTTTTTCGTGATGGTGTTGATTCTTAACAAAAAGAAAAATTAAAGATTTCAGTTTTTATTTTACTTCTTATTAATATAGTTACTTAATGGAAGAAAACTTTGTGATAATTCATATTCAATATCATCAATATTACGAATTTTATTTGGAATATTTTCGGATGATATGACAACAATTGGTACTGAACGATTTGTTGTCATTTCAATGTATTTAAATGATCGATCTAACTCTTTCTTTTTAGAATGAAATGCTAAAGTTAGATGAATGCATAGACAATCAAACAAAAATCTTATTTGATTTGTTTTATCAAATAAACAAATCACAATTGTGTGACAATCATATAGATGACGCTCGTCTACAGATATTTGGTTTTTAGGAGGTAAAATAAAATTTCATTAGAATAATCGATCTTTTTTCTTGAATAAGTATCCAACAGAATGGCTCTATTTACAATTACTAGTAAAAACATGAAGTAGTATTGCATTTTTGATGTATATAGGTTTTGACGTCGCATGAAAGTTGCTATTTTCCTCTTGACTGATTTTTACGTTACGGATACTCAGACTTGAAGACACGGTAATATAAATAGAATGACGAAGAACATCAGTATTTTGAGACTCTAAAAAATATATACACTATTTAGTAAACATTGTTATCGAAAGTAATTCAAGGAATTTCTTTTCGATCTACGAGGAATATTTGAAGAATTATTACATAACTATAAAAGTTGAAAAACCTTAAAAAATGGAACTTTTTTGTTCATACACATCTAAATATTCACATTATCTTGCCATTTTGTTAAAGAGAAGTTTTTGATAAAAATCTGTAAAGATTTGTCGTTGTTTCTTAAGCATCTCTGTTCGAGCTGAAACTTTTTTCTACTAATAGTAGAGAGTGTTTAGGATACACACTTTTTATTTGTTTCAAAATATAATATGGTGCTGGTTTCTGCTATGATTTACAAAAAAACTTCTAGTCGAAAAATTATGCATTGTACAGAGTGTTCTCGTAAATTTTGCTGGTTTTATTTAAACAGACGAGGATATAAGGAAACCAGACATTTCAAATGAGGTTTGGTATTTGTAATTTATTTTTCCGCTCTGTAAGACGTATAACATTTGAGAAAGGAGAGCAATAAGGAAATCGTTTTTAGCTATTGCGATCTAAGTATTTCGTATAAGAGAAGTGTTTCGAAATGTTAAGTCTATGGCAACTTTTGCTGTGATTATTAAGATTTATTTGTATTGAAAGTTCTAGTTTTTCCTACAGAACCACTTTTCAGAAATCCCTGAGCCGAGGTATAGAATATCCTTAAGATTTTTTTATAAAATTTCAATAGTGACCACATACTGATAAACGAGAGCTTCTCAAAAGAAATTGTCTGCTAGTTTTATTAGATATTGTTCGTATCAAGTCTAAATAATTCTTATATTCTCAGTATTTAACTTATTCGATCAAGAATTAGCATATTTTCTCATCATTTCTTTTGAGTTTTATCTTGATTAATATAATATAAATATCTATGTATAATGTTTAATACAGATGTTATGCAATTATTTCATTTGTAGTACAGTAAAAACGAGATGTTTATATATATCTATAACATGCAATATATACAAGATCATATTCCTTCAATTTTACTATTTTTTTTAAAGCTTTGTTCGTTCAAATAATTTCGTGATGAAGCTTATTGGTCTAGTTTTTATAGTTTATAATTTGCAGTTCTATTAACTGAATTAAATTATATCATTAGTATAAAATAGAATTTTCTCAAATGAAAATGATTTGTATAGTTAAGAGAGCAAAGTAATTATTTCATTTTGATCATATTGTTGATACATCTTTTAATATGATATCTAGCAACACAATAATGAATAGTTTTTTATTTTTATTAAAATAAATAAATCTTTCTTTTTAATTCGTTCTAACAATATCGTATTGGATCATTGGGTAAAGCACATGCTGTAAAATAGAAAAGTGGATCCACAGCAGTACTTGTGTTTAATGGAAGAGGAGGAGGAAGAGAAGGAGGAGGAGGAGGCGGCGGAAGAGGAAGATATGGAGGACTTATGGATGATTGTGTCGGCATTATTGCATCATTATATAAATATTGACCGAGTATATCTTGTAAATTCTGGTAATTTTCTGCTTGAATAACAATGCTACCTGGTGTTTGAATCAATTGATCAATGTATCGGTTTAATGATGATTCAGAATAAGAACGACGTCGTTGATAGTATTTATTTGATCTTTGAGGATCATACGTGTTATCATATACTACATTTCGATCATCATTTTGAATTTCACGTATATATCTTGTACCACCATAATATGTATCAGTATTTAAACGACGATTCAAATATTGATTATTACCAATAGATATTCGTTGTACTGGTGGTTCATATGTATAACGACGAATATGATAAGCTTTACCAAGACGATCTTGTTCAACAATTTCATTAATTTTAATAGCCACTGTTGCAGGAATACCCGCATCTACAAGAACATTTTCAATTGGATAATCAAGTTCAAGACGAGATACATTATCATCATCATATGCTCGATTTCGAAATGATGGTTCACGGTTTATTAAAGATCCTTGTTGAGTATTCATGGGATTATTTGTATCGTTCATTCGAGCAATTTGTGTTGAAGGGAATGATTTTGTATTCCTATCTAGTGAAGGACCACCAGTTTGATGTAATTGCGGAATAGTTGTTGCTGAAGGTGGTGACATTTGATTAGTTTTCATTGCAGATACCAACTTATTCATCGGAGGTTGTATATCATTTGTTAATGGTTGTTGTTGTGGTGACGTTTGTGCTTGATTAGTATTCGTACCTGACGGAGCACCTCCAAAAAGTGATAGCATTGGATTTGTTGCCGGAATTGTAGATGACTGATTTGTATTCGTACTTGGTGGAGCACCTCCAAAAAGTGATAGCATTGGGTTTGTTGCTGGAATTGCAGATGACTGATTGGTATTCCTACCTGGTGGAAAACCACCAAGTGATGATGAAGGATTATTTGGTGCAGATGTGGCTGATTCATTTGGATTCATACCAGGAGGTAAACCACTGAACGATGGTGGAGGATTATTTCTTGATGTAGGTGTAGGGTTTACTACGGAAGCATTTACAATTGTTGGAATAACTGGAAAGTTTGATTGTGATGGAAAACGTGAAGCGGGACTATTATTGATGTTTGATGAAGGATTCCTATTATTATTAAGGGGCGAATCGGATGAAAAACCAGTCGATGTACCTCGAGGTGGAGCGTTAGAAGGATTCATTTTACCAGGTGAAAAACTCGGGCTACTTGCATATGTATCTTCGCTGTTAATAGTACCTCTTGGCTATAAAAGATGAGACAATAAGAATATTTATTATTTTCAAGGAAAATTATTTTTACTTGTGCTTTTGATAGAGTTTGTTGTGGTACATTATAATTTCTATAACTTTCAGTGTCGTCATTATCGTCTTCTTCGTCCTTGAAATGATAATAATCATATAGCAATCGAATCACATATTTAGTCTTACTGTTTGATATGGTGGTTTTGTAATAGTACCTAATTGAGGTTGATTTCCTGGAGCACTTGGATATGAGCCAGGAGGTAAAATATTAGGCCTAAAAATATTGTTCCATTTTGTTTCCATATGTGGTGTGATAGATAAAAAGCCTTGAATTATTACTCACGATTTATTCTTTTTGAATATGTTTTTGAAACGCTGAAAGGCTGTAGCCATTTATAATATTAATTAGTAGTAAGAAAAAGAATATATATACACTTCTATGTTGTGCGAAAAGAGTTGTTCATAATAGTATCCTAAATATAAAACAGAATATAATATCAAACATTTCTTGTTACGTATTCATAACACTGAAACGCAAAATAATACATGTGTGTCGGAAAGAAGGACAAGGACGATGAAAAGGAGAGAAAGAAAAAAAATATGCGTGTTTGTGTCACGGTCTATAATGAAGAACCATTCATCCGTAGCCAACTTGGATGAAAATGATTATAATAAAGACAAAGACATCAAATATAAATATCTATTTATTTTTAATCATTTCTAAGAAATAATAATAATAATAATGCCTAAGTTACTGAGTGAAATCTTTATTTACGATAAGACTATAAATTTTCATTGATTTTGATACTTTTATATTTATTTATTAATAGTAAAAAAAATCAAGACTAGAAATGTTTGACATGAGTAAGACATGTATATCACATAACTGTCGGTGCAAATCTTCGCCGTACACGTGCTACAATTAAACCAGTACAACCAGCTACTGTAGCTATAAGACCAAGTGTAAGCAATGTCCGATATGAAAATAAATCATCGAAACTATTTAATTGTGAAAGGAATGAACCAGTTTGTACACTTATAAAAGTATATGGCGCCATGCCTAAATATAGAAAAAAATGATTTTATATGAATAACATTGTTTGTTCTCAAACTAACCAAAGAGGATTGAAAAGAAAAATATTTTTTTTGGTACATTTAATAATGGACATGTTATTGTTATAAGTGAATTTGGACTCATTGGTACCATTCGCATAAAAAGTAAAACAAAAAAGAGATTATCACGACCAGCTTCAACCTTTTTGATAATGGAAAATAAATTAAAAAAATGATTCGAATTTTTTTTTAACATATTAAATAATTTCTTACTTTTTTTTGCAATACAAGTATTTTTTTATGACAACATTGAACAACTAAATTACGAGCAAAATTAGAAACAAGTAAATAACATAAACTAGCACCAATTGCTGTTAATAAGCAACAAAGTGGAAAGCCTATCCATGTACCGAATAAGGCACCACAAAGTAAATTCTAAAGTATATGAACGAAAAATAGATATTCATTTAAAAAGAAAAGAAATAATTAAATAAACATACCAGAATAGCTGAACCTGGTAATGAAAAAGATTGCTTGTATAAATAAGCAGAACCATAAAGTAATAATAGATAAGCTAAATGATCGTCACGATAATGTTGTAAGGTAGTTGATAAGTTCTTTAAGGCTTCGATACTTCGTGGAAACTGAAGAGAAGCTCTAATTAAAGAAAAACAAGAATTAGAAATTTCTATTCAATTGTCAGTTGAATCTGAATTGTTTGATATTTCAATTTTTTTCGTTTATTTATTTAAAAAAAAAAACTTGTCAGCGGAACTCTGTTGGAGCTAAAACGCAGTTGTTTTCTCAGGATAATCAAATGTCAGAGAAACGATCTCTCTTATTTATTTCTATGGTTCAAAAAGAATTTTTTTTCTTTTTCTGATTATTTCTCAAAATTATAACTTGATCAGTTCACGCTTTTGATATTCATCATATGACGACTATGGCAAAGCAATGTATCTCTATTCATTATTTTTGACATCTTGAATATAAACTTTTATTTGCGTAAAAATAAAAATAACTACAATATTTCAAACATTCACAAATGTATTCCAGCCATTTAAATTCCGAGAAAGACAATGGAATGTTCTGAAACAGTCTAAGCCTTGTCATTAATACCGTTCAGCTTCTTTTTTCATTATTATGTGAAGCCTATTGTTCTTAGTTGCTATAAAAACGTACTCAATTATCCGTGACCTTTGATTCAATTTGCTAGAGGGTCTAGGCTAGGGAGGAAGCGCAAAAACCTTGATTTTAACCTACATTCATTATTTCCTTCGAAACTATATATGTCAGTATGCAATCTAAAAGCCGAGTTTGAACTAGTTTAAACTTCTATCAAACAAAAACTTGAGATCAAAAATCATTTTTGACCCTAAAATCATTGTTGAGTTTAGAACTTTTTATTTATAAGTTACAACAAATTAATGGCATTTTCTTTTATAATACTTGGTTTAAAAGCCAGACTTAGATTGTACAAGTTTCAAATAGTTTAATGTGAAAATAGAAACTTTATGGAAATTTATTTTTCATTCCGTTGTAGCTCATCAAAAACGGAAATCCGAAATACAACATCTATTCGAAGATCGAAATTGAGTATTGATTTCAGGTCTTTGCTCAATCCAAGTTTAGACTAGTTCAAACTCGAGTCTTAAGTTGAACGTTGACATATATATACGTTCGGCAAAAAATATTCCTACATGATAGTGTATTGAAAACAATAAGTGACAGTATCTTTAGCCATCACGTTTACATCTTTAAGTAACTCGAAATATCCTTTAAGTTACTTTCTATGCATATATATATATATATATATATATACAGTAGTGGACAAAATTATAAGAACAGACAATTTTTTTAGTGTTTTCATTTCATTTGTCTTTACTTTTCATCTGCTCGAAATAGTTCATGTATCTATACATATTNAAAGTTAGATCCCTAGGAAAACAGTCGATAAAAGTCGATTAAGTGGATTCTTTTTTCCATCGATTCTAGGATTATAATTAAATTAATCGATTTTGTGCTGATTTTTTTATAATTATTTGTGATTAAATTAATAATCATAATCGTATGATTATAATTGATTTTTAATCGATTATTAGTGATTGTTCAACAAACTCTTTTTTACATGGGTACTCTTCAGTGGAGTATAAAAGAGGGTGAAAAAAAATCAGATTGAAACAGATTCTTCAACAGTAATCATAGAAATTCGATCAAATACACCACATTTTGACTAAATTCAACGAAATAATAGATTACAATAGGTTTTTCGAGGAAATAAGCAATTACAACTGCTTTTTTCGGCAAATAAGATAAATAATCGATTACAAAATCAAATCTGTTTTAATAGATTTCTGCCTTAATTACACTATCTCAATATTTGACATGAATTAATTCTCTTCTTTTTATTTTATTTGATTTCAATTTTATATTATTAATTTATTAAAATTCGTGATATTTCATATCTCGATGAAATACTTCTTTAGACACTAGATTTAAGACAAATGACATATAAGTATATACAATAAGAACATAAAAACAATTTTCTGTTTCTTTTCTTTCGTATCAGTCATTCTTTTGATAGTGATATTGGAAATGGATTCAATCCCTATCTATTGATTACTATTGCCGTCTTGTTTTCCGTATCATTATCAAAAAAATTACTGATAGAAAAGAAATGAAAAAGAATATTGTTTATTTTTTTTTTCTTATTGTATATACTTGTATGTCATTTATCTTAAATCTAATGTCTGAAGAAGTATTTCATCAAGATATGAAAACGTGACGAGTTTTAATAAATTAATAATATATAATTCTAAGAAAATAAAATAAAAAGAAGAGAATTAATTCATGTCGAATATCAATTCAACCTTCTTATCAAAACAAGAATACACTCTCTTAGTATGGAGCAATTTATATGCAAGGTCCAACTTTACTACATTTTTGTGCTCTGTGGTCAGTAGCGCGTGTTCATAGTTTGCGAACACGAGTAATTCAAATAATCATGGAAAATTATAGGTTTCATATTCGAGTTCGGAGAAAATCGCTCATATTTAATATATGTGATTAAGACGAATGAAAAGGTATTAATGGATAAAAAAGTGGCTAGAATCCGGTTATGATCATTTTGTAAGCGGTCTAAAATAGAGTATAGTGGCACTTTTACAATCCTAATTTAATTGTTAGATTAGATTTAAGATGAAAAAAAATCAGCTTTAATTCATATACTAAATAATCGTTGGATCAGAATTATGCCATTATAATAGATTTTTCATCATAAAATAATGTATCATAATCAGATTCTTCTAGTTTTTTCACATGGGCTGGCCTATTTTGCTATTGATTTTTGATTTTGTCAAAAGAAGAAGGCTAAGATTTTCTCCGATGAGGTTTTTTTGGCAGGTATCCTAGCGGAGAAATATGAACTTGCGTTGTATAAAAAATTGTATAGCTTTATAAAATGAAAGTTAATTTCATATAATTTTAGATGATGTTGATTTGATTGTGCATGTTTTGGATGTGTGAATATATGCTGTAGATAGAATAGAGTTCTTGCGCTTACACATCTATCCACTCAGATCTTGCATCTACGTATAAAGAACCATGACCACAACTGTGGCATTATATTTACTTCTAAGAGCATTACGATTTATCCATGTAGAAGCTATGTAATGGCGCTTAATGAGTAGTGCAAAAATATGAGATAACATAGGCAGACTAATTTCGAATAGAGACACTTACTAAACCAAAAGCATTGCTTTTCGTTTTTCTCAAAATTAGTTTCTTTCAGTATACTGTTTACGCGAGAAACTATTCTTAGTAACGACTCGTCATAAAAGTTGTGATTCTTTTATTACACAGAAACAGTTAGGGTTATGTCTTAATGGAGTATATGATGCGTTATATAAGTTTCCAGGAGAGTCCATGGACTTTCCTCACAACAGAATTTCCGGAAAGTCGAATTGGATTTCCGGAAATGATAGATGATTTTACCAAACCAAATGGATTTCCGGAAGTGCAAATTGTCTTTTCCAAAATCAAATTTTTTTCCGAAAATCGAAAACGATTCCAAGAGGGCAATGCATTCATATAATGCATTATACTATTTTTCAGGAAACTCAATAGGTTTCTGGATGCTAAATCAATTTGCGAAAACTGCATGCCGTTTCCCTTGTGGGCATAATGGACATAATCAGCATCATGGACATTGGATGCCGCGGAGAGAGTCACAATTCATCACTCTTGGTTCACCTTTTGAACAATACGCCCATCCGGCGCACTATGGCCATTATGCCCGGCTCCCAGTCAAGTTAATAAAAAAGGAGTTTCCTGGAAACTAATAGAACGTATCAAATCCTCTCAGCCATTCTTCCCTGTTCCCCAGACAAAAATCATGGTGATGCCATTTATGAAGGACTTTTTCACTTCAATAATTTGTCTCTAAAGTCTATAGTAAAGAGAGGAATGAATAATGAGATATCGTCGCTTTTACCGTTTGCTAACTGTTACAATTGATACGATCACACTAGAAAATTATTTTCGTACAAACGGACAACAGCCTCGGCAAAACCTTGTACTTTCTATTGGACAAAATTTGTGTTGACCACTCTTCTGGCAATTATCTTTGGAGTATTCACTGTCATCTGTAATTATCCAATAAAATTCCACAATAATGCAACTCATGAGCGCGATTAACATCAAGCTGCTATGCAAAGTCAACGAGTTAATTTTGACAACTATATTGATGTTATCCCTGAATGCCTTCTCAGTGTATATTACAATTGAAGTAATTATGATCATCTTCTCACAATTCGAGTTAAAACACTACTCTTTATCATCTTGATCCAAATCATAAGCAAGAGATTATCTTCTTTCTACATGAAAATAAATTGCCTAAAGCATCCGCTTTGTCAGGACAATGTCTCAATTTGGATGATGTGGCTCGCATCGATGACGTTCAATGTCGTCGAACATCGACCGATCAAGAAATTTTTAAAGAACTCCACTAGCCAGATTTGTTTGCATTCGACATTGTATTTGATGGATATCTGTTCACTTGAAGTTATTTTATCGATTGTCCGTTAGTAAGAGCACTATTTATCAGGAATATCTATCACCAGACTACTTTTCATAACAGTGTTCTAGATCGGGTCAATTTTGCAAAGGGCAATATTACCACAAACAATTTTTTGGCCGTATTTTTCAACAGACAAATCTAAATAATATTGATCTACTTGGCAGTAATATTACTGAAGCTGATTTAACCATTTTTTCAAGTGAGTCAAAGACCAATATTGCCTGTCATGCGCGTTTCACGAATGAATTATTCCTAAGAATTGATTTTTACACAATTGGTCAAAGATTATGGAGCCGATCTTGAGTTAAATATGATCATGAAATAATCATTTCAGGTGAAGAATACAACATTTCGACACAATATCTAGATGTGTATGACCACAAAAGATTGTTTATTCACTACTCTCTGTTAAACAAATTGAAGTTCTATGCGCTGGCATACAAGTTTTGCAATTGTTAGCGGAGTTCACATCTCTAGTGTTCGTTGGATAGCCCTTCAAATCGGCTTAATATGCGTGATTATCAACGATGATTTCAAGTGAACAAAAATCATGAAAATATCGTGGTGCCGTTACCAGAGTTCATGGAAGGGGAGTTATTTTTATTAACTAGAAAGATCCGTTTAAATTATCAACAGACTGATGTGAGATGTTTATCACTGTTATTAAATAGCACACAAGCATGGTGTAATTTATTCGCTTATATAGGCTGCTCAGAGAATTATCCAAACAGGATCTTTTTTGATTTTGCGGTTTATCAATGCAGGCAACCTTTCCTATAGTGAACAATCCCTACGTTTAAGGTGCCTTCAACTTGAAATTCGAGTAAAGCATTTTTCGTTTATTTTAAACTTGTTTCGATAGAATATGGGGAATTAATTATGTGAAACTGTTTTTAGCTTTGCGAAATGCTTAGTAAGGTCGAAAAAGGAATAAAAATTGATACGAATCGTTTCCTCCAAAAAAGCATCCATTGTCGTAATAGGCGTAATTTTCTATTTTGTTCTTCCTGTTAGCTTAGGAAAGTACTTTTTCGAAATCAACTTTAACTCTAATAGTTTTATCATGGCAGTACCTCGCAATGGGCGAATAAAAATATTTATATAACACTTTTGAAAACGTATCTAATGTTTTCATGTACATGATGAAGCTGTCTCTTACATCTCCACTCAAACAACGACACAATATGTTAAAAAACTGTGCACTGTTTTTGTTTTTATTTTTCCCTGTTGATGGGAAGCATTCTTTTTATGCCAAAAATATATATATTCGTATAAGATCTACTTGACAACTTCGAATAGAAACTCTTAAAGGATCTCGGACGGCATTGCAATGTTTATAAATTCTCTTTAAAAGCTTTTTGCCAAGAAAAAGATTCTATGTAGTTTCTATAAAGATGCTGTTCTTAAAATTCCATATTTGGATCATAGCTCGAAAAAAAAAGATAATATTAGATTTTTTTGGAGGCTCACTGTTGGGAGCACGCGTCTGTCAATAAAATATTAAAATGGACCGAGTACCCATATGAACATTCTATCGTGCGAATACAACGTTTGATCACTGATTATCTTTAACAACTTCTGTTATGCGAAGCCACTCTATTATGTCCTTTCGATTGTAATATTACAAAATGCATAAGAATACAGCTATCAAGTAGTGGACAATGACAAATAGAAATTCGATTATGCATGCTTAAGTAAAGTTGTTTGTCGAAAATGATGTTGGAGAGAGAAACAAATTGATATAATCAGCATAGCGTGTATTAATATCTTCCTGGTGGAGACCAAACTGACTAAGTGAGTACGTATGACGGCCTTGTTTTCCTTGAGGATTTTCGAAAAGCCAAACACGCATAGCCATTTCTAATTCATTCGATCAATGAAGATTAAAGTAAGAATAAATTCTACGTACAATAGCAATCGGATCTCTCATCAAATTATTATAGGTAATATCAAAAATGTTTTTACACGATTGATCGAATACATTATTCGAACGAGTACGAAATTCCATAATATATTCAATCATTTTATCTATAAATTGGTAGCATCGTTTTGTCAATCGATTTCGACTAATAAAGTCTGTTTTATCAAAAGTTGATTGAACATTTGTTTGTGCTAATGCACACAATGAAGGAATAACTTCGTCTAGATTGCGATGAGTCATTACTAATAATGCATTCGGATAATGTTGAACAAGTCTGTCAAGATGTAAACTATGCATCGGCGATTTTAATAACCAATGAGATTGCGGCATATCAACAGAATTTAATAAACGTAAGAATACTTCATGATAATCATAAATATAATCTTTGTTTATTTCTATTTGAAGCCATTTATCAGAATTGATTTCATCATCACATACTATACTTGTAAAAAATGGAAGAAAACTTGCTTGAAGTAAAATATTATAATCTTCTTCAAATGGAAAATTCGGATGCGATTCAGCTATATGACTTTGTGAACCAATCAAATATTCTTTTTGTTTCATAGACAAGTTGACTGCATCTATTCGTCGTTTTTGTTCAATTGAATCGGATCGTGAGATGGGTGGAATAATATCAACGCACATATCAGTGTATAATGGTGCACGACAATTCGGATCACAAGCCATTAAATTGAACAGAAATGTCGAACCTGTACGTGGTAGACCGCAAATAACCAATGGACCAGTAGATGGTAAATTGTGATGAAGAAGTTGAATATTATCTGCTGCATAATTCAGAACATGTTTACAATCTGTGTGTAACTTATCGATTTCATACAGAGCTAAATGTCGGCCAACAGGTGTCAGATATTGATTACGAAGTATACTTTGACGATACGATTCGAATCCACGCCATATTTTATCATGATAACTAAACTGATTTTTCGCTTGTTCAGTTAGGTCATTTTCATGTAGAATAATATCACTTAACAACGATGGGTATTTAATTCTAGTATTATCTAATGTAGTATCCATTTCAGTCAATACGTTAATGCACTAAAACGTTTTGAAAAGTAACTTTAGTACAGAATTCGAAACTAAATGACAATTAAAATATGCTGAAATACTATAGAAATCATTATGAAAATCTTTTTCATAAAAATAAATAAGAGAATATGTGTACGTATATATATGTGATAATCAATCATTTCTTATCTACTGTCATCGTGTTGCACAAGATAACAAACAAAACATTTTTTCGTTCATATCCACTAGGTACCGCTCATCTTACGGATTCTTTGCTTCTTTTCTCAAAGAAAACATCGCACGTTTCTCGAGAATCTTTCGGAAAAAACATTTTTCAATTTCAGTTTATGCATCATATATTTTTACGAATAAATTCATAACTTACTAAGTACGCACATAAATTAACAGTTCCTGTGATTTGGTACCAGAGTTCGAATAAACATGCTATCTATGTTTACTTAATGTGGCTTTTCCAACAATATTGTATCCTAGAAATGATAACCGCCTTTCACTCATTTATGTTAAGATTTCGTCTTCATAATTGTCAAATGTATCCATAAGAATTGTTTATTTTTATAAGGAAGAAGTAAATATTGTACAACCTAATGAATGAAATCCAGAAATACGCTTAGGAAAATTTTTCTCGAAAAGGATTTTGACTTTCAAATAATCTATGTCGCGTAGTACATGTTGAATCGGCTGCAATTGTTAATTATGATAAATGAGTGTTACATAAGATGAAGCAAATAATGAAGTATCATCATTCTTGGGCATCACTATTTGTAATGTAATTCTCAAAGGCAATTTCTACTATTAGTGTGTATTTTAGGTTGAAATAGTCTATCGACTAATCGAGATACATCTTTGCTTCAGTACTTATTCAGATCAGCGGTACAACGACACCAACCATCTTGGATGTGTCTTATGAATCATATGAATAATTGTATGGAGTGCCACTGATCTGAAGAAGAACTGTCGGTTCATTATCAAAACATTGAGCGTTAATCTATTTTGATTGGCCAGTTAGTGTGGATTATTTCTCGCTATTAAGATCTTTTTTGGAAAAAATGGAAACATAATTCGATAGAGAAACGTTCTGTCTATCAACTGGTACAGATCAGAAGTTCAGTCTGTTTTATTTTAAAAAAAACGGTGTAAATAGTGCATTTGATATTGATTCACTCAACATGTTATGTTTTTTCTCTCTCTATCGATATAACAGAAAGGAAAGAAAAGAAGAAGAGATAATGCGTTCTGTGTTAACGGTTATCTCTTATATCGACTCAAATGTACTCATCCATAATGTTTATACGAGAAAACAAAATGCTACTCTCAGACGAATATTCGACAAAAAAATTGATTCGATTCGGCTTCGCTCTCTGTTTCGTATGCCAAATTCCGGGGGATATTTACCCTTGAGAAACTCAATCCTCTATTAAAACATTCCATTTCTAACTAAAAACGATCACAACTCATTAGTACGAAGTTTTTCACAACGAGGCATACGCTTTCGAGCAGTGTCATGCTGCTCCACATTCAATAATCATTTAGTTTTTACTTACGTCAATAAACTTCTTCATATAACAGATTATTAATGAAGACGAAAAGGCATTAATTCTAAGTAGCTTCGGCCTGTAGCAAATATTGTTTGCACAAAGATTATTGATTCTTTAGAGTGAAAATGAATAAAAGATACTTCCACAAAGCAAATTAAATACGCCACCTTTATTTTAAACCAATGAATGTTCAGTGACCCTACTTCGCTGCGAATAAATGAACACGTTACTAGTCGAGAATACTCACTGTAAGAGTCGTGGCTGCTGTTACGTTTTGTAGATAAGAAGCAAGTTTGCTAAAAATAAGATGGACTCTAGGTTTCGAAGCACTATAGCACGACGATGCTTTCTTTTTTGTTTTTCAAGAGCTATAAGATTCACTCAAACATGCATTTTATTGCTTGTAATAGAACAAAACTGATTAGGATTCATATATATAGGATAGGTGAGAAATATCTAACGGTGAAAATAAACATAGAAAAATTGTAAAACAAGTAAGTGTAACTGAATCAAAGCTAGAAATTTTTCAGCTTCACAGGCGGAGCTGGAACTGGCCGGCTCCAACTGTAAAGATTTTTAGCTAAGAGTCTCATAAAAAGTTTCTATATGTTGAATATAATTTCTTATTTCTTGATAAAGATTATCCAAAACATCTACAATAACTAGAAACAAAAATTTATGGTAATAATTATAAGAAATGCAATTTGGAGTGTGTGTGTCAGTGTTCTTTAAAAAAGGTGCTACTCTGAACCTTTCAGCGTTCTAGGATAATCTGGTTTCGTATGGAACTCTTTTCTTTAATCTCAAAAAGTGATTCTATTTGAAGAAAAAAAAAGACAAGGTTTACCGAAACGGATGAGAAGGTTAACATAAATAATACAAAGACGGACAAAATACAACTGAAAAGAACAAGACGAAAAAAATCTAAATCTTAACATGCATATAAACAGTTGGGTCCCTAAAGTGATTTTTTACGAACCTAACATATATTCTGAGGATCGCGATATGATCTTATAAAAATTATTCAGAACTTTGATACTTGATATAATGAATTATTCTTAGGAGATGACAATTCACGATATCTTAAATCACAATGTCAACTAATATCAGACAAAAAAGACTCATAAAAATCCGTCTTTTTATTTCAATGTCTCCATTATAAAACTTTTATTTTTATTGCTTCTCTGACAGGGAAACGATATCTTTAGTATGTTATAAAACTCTATTACGATACATATGCCAAAAAAAGCAGTAATAAAACACATGATTCGTTGCATAACCTCAACTAATGCAAAATAGAAGAGAGGAAAAATGAAATGAAATATTCTCAGCTTTCATGCATAATCTATTTATTCGTCTAGTTTGAGCAAAATTATCGGATGCCGAGAAAAGCACAAAGATTCCTCCATTATCACGATTAATATAAAGATATCTTTATATTTACAGTGAAGGCAAACAGATCGTTATATTTCAATCGATTCTATTCAGTCAACATGGCTTATTCGTTTGCAAGGTGATTAAAAAGCGTTGTAAATTGTTCGTTATGCCACTCTAGACTCGTTCTTTGATTCTAGTAACATTGAACATTGATCCATCGAATCGTAAATTATTATTTTTGCTCTTTGGCAGAATACGCACATACGCAGCAGCAGATCGAAGAACAAGGTATATATTTGATCAAGTGTCGAATTAGTGAATTTGTCTAGAGGGTTCAACAGTCAGATGTTTATCCACGGAAGAAGATGCGAAAACGACGCAATCCGGACAAATGACCGTTGTCAAAGAAGTTTGATAAGCCACTCACACCCGAACATAAAAAGATCAATAGTGTGTGTGTAGGTTTGTATAGCTGATGATACGAGGTCAATCTTGTGCCGCATCCCGAGCGTGGTCCATGGCGTAAGTAAGGTGAATACACAAGTGAAGTGTGAGTAGTTTATTGAACAGCGGAATGACGATATTGAAATCGGTAAGATCATTATATTCAGCAGAGTGACGGTGACTGATCTAATCGATGAAGAACGAGTGGGCTTTTTGACAGAAGAGAGCAGTCATTCAATAGCAACTCGATGGCATCACATGGAACATCGTCAATAGTGATCGCTTTCTAGACAGACTAGTCAGGTGTATTGATAGAAACCTAAGAGACGAACTATTTTATTACATGTGGCGTTCGTCATTCGGAGAGATGTATCTAGGCATAGCGACAGAACGTCGTCCCTTAAATTTTCCCACAGAAAAATTCAACGTGTGCATTTGATAGCAGAGAAGAGACAATTAGATATTCAATACTTTTCTGGATCCATTATTTTGATCCATTGCAAAATGCCGTATGCAGTCTGTTTCTTTCGATAGCGATTATATATTTAGTGAATTACATTAAATGTTATCAATTTTATGTGCCAAAAGATGTTCTGAACGAAATACTCTGAAATAGATTCAAGTAGTTTTCTCAGGCAAAGTGGATCTTAGCTAGCTCCTCTCTTTCAAGTGAAAGAAGTCTGCAAATTTTATCATAGAGACTACTCATTGAGAAGATCATTTTTTATAACCGACGTTTTTTATGCTTTGTGTTCTAATTTTTTGGGAAGCTGCTACAATCATCGAAATGGTGTTTTACCATCGGTAAAACTGGCAGGTGTGTAGCGTGTTTCTAGACTGAATGATAAAGGCATCTTTAGGACCTATTGTCGAATTGGGTGTTGGTAAGGATTTTCTCAGTCAAATCGCAATGGTCCAAAATGAAAATTTCAGGAATTGTTGAGGTAGGCGTTCTGATGAAGACGCGCTATAGGCCAGATTTTGGAAATGCCGCTATTGCTTCCGAAGATGGCCAGTTTAGGAAAATTTAGAACGTAGATCACAAAGATGTGTTTGTCATTTCGTTCAGGAATACGCTACACAGCTGCGAATTTCACCGATAGATACAGGACATTTTGACGATTGTAAACCCTAATAAAAACTGAACATCCATTTCGACTTCATAGAGATACTTGAGCCCAAAAAACGTCAAAAATTGGCATTTTTCTATAGCAATTTCACAAAATCAAGACACGAGGAAGAAAACGTCCGCTACAAAAGAAAATCATCTCAATGAGCAGTCTCTATGATAAAATTTTGAAACTTCTATTATTTGACACAGAGGAGCTAGCTAAGGCCCAATTTGGCTGGGAAGATTCATCTTGTCTACTCCCACTTGGATCTCTTCGCAAGATTTTCTTCATTTTTTTTAATCTACAATCATAGATGGGCCAGTGTTTTATATTTAGGTGTAGCAATAGACTGGAATATCGTATTATTATGGATGAAAAACATGTCTTCAGTCTTGTTTATGCCACTAATAATTTGTTTCATTGTGATGATTGCTTCCAATTATCTTCTTGTTCATTTGCAGAAAGTCGATGAATAATCTGGTGCGTTTTCGGAAGAATCATCCAGTAGTGGTTCGTGGTA